GTCTGCTAAAATGTAACAAAACATAAAAAACTCCACACATATTTTGGAATTTCTGCAATTCCAAAATATATGTGGAGTTTTTAGTTCAGATTATTTGTTTGCAAGATGTGATCTATAGGCTAAAATAGCTTCATAAACGGTTTATTCATATATTTGGTGAAAATCACAACATAGTGTACAAAATCAATTCTAGTTCTTAAAGGGGCAGTAGCCTACATTGGGTGTACACTTTCTAATTACAGCATTATTTAATCTGCAGTTATTCTTCTGCTACTTATTCTCTTACCAATAATATTTACATGTTAATAGTATCTTCTGATTACAATTATTATGTGTCATCTTTTAACTAAATGCAATCTATTAGCTACCAAAATGTAAGTAGGTAAGTAGGTATATCGACCTGTCTACCTGGAATGGCTTGTCCTGCACTTTGTAAAAACCCAGAGTGCATTGAGTGAATGTTGGAAAAACATCTTGGTTCCTTTCTAAACATAGCAATGTGAATGCAAAGAGGACTCAAACCACAAAATAGGTGAAGTGATCTAGCAAAAGTGTTGAGTCCTCATTCAAAGGCAAGGACAGTGTGAATACAGTTCACTTTAAAGATGACTGTTTGTGAAAACAACCTGAAGTTACATGAGCTCCACTGAGACAGTGCTTTCCCTTTAAAGGACATGGCAGGTTGGCCAACAAGCGCAGGTAGGTATCACACTGGTCTGGGCGTGGCCCCATATACGACAAGTGGACCAACAAGGAGCCTTTCACGCATGCGTGAGCTAGAAAGTACGTTTTATAATGATTACTGGGGGCGAGCGAGAGAGATTATGTAGGCTGTACACAACTGTTGTTTTAATCCCCGGACCGAAGAGATTTAGCATAAAAAACACGGGTTTCTCCTTTAGCAGCCATATTGTATGGACTATTGTTGGAAAAAGCAGTATTTCAGCAGCAAAAGTCATTTTAAGGAGAACCTTGACAAGACTCTGGGAAAGTTGATCTTCAACCCACTGGCGGTGGGATTCAGTTCAACAGCTAGCTGTCCAGCTGGCTGAGGAATTTCACAGATTGGGGATAGTATTTTTAAGATATAGATTTCTATATTTATTTATTTTTTAGCTTGTTTTATTAACAGTCGTCAAGATGAAGGACCGATTGGAACAACTTAAAGCGGTAAGGGAGGTCTGGGAAATGTGAGAGGCACCTTTCACAGAGCGAGACAGATGTTATAACCGCCTGTGTAGGCCGGCATGCAAATTACAGATGATATATGCAAAAAAAGTGTATCATTCGACAAAATGATTTAACTCATTATTGGTCTTATTCGGAAGTTTACAAGCTATTCATCATACTATCCGAAGCCCTATTTGGACTGCCGCTATTTGATTGCATAGCTACATAATGAATGATCTTAATAACAATTGAAGAGATTATGGAAAATTACAGTTTCTGTTAAGGTTTTATTTTTCATCAACTTTAATATTTATACTGAACAAAAATAAACGCAACATGCAACAATTTCAAAGATTTTATTGAGTTACAGTTCAGATAAGGAAATCAGTTGATTTGAAATAAATAAATAATGGCAGAATCTATGGATTTCACATGACTGGGCAGGGGTGCAGCCATGGGTGGGCCTTGGAGGGCATAGGCCCACCCACTTGGCAGCCAGGCCCAGCCAATCAGAATACGTTTTTTTCCCCAACAAAATGACTTTATTACAGACAGAAATACTCCTCAGCGTGGTTACACGTGGTTGGGGTCGTGAGGCCGGTTGGACGTACTGCCAAATTCTCTAAAACGATGTTAGAGGCACCTTATGGTAGAGAATTAACATTAAACTATTTGGCAACAGCTCTGGTTGACATTCCTGCAGTCAGCATGCCAATTGCACGCTACCTCCAAACTTGAGACACCTGTGGCATTGTGTTGTGACAAAACTGCACATTTTAGTGGATTGTTATTGTCCCCAGCACAAGGTGCACTTGTGTAATGATCATGCTGTTTAATCAGCTTCTTGATATGCCACACCAGTCAGGTGGATGGATTATATTGGTTAAGGGAAAATGGTCACTAACAGGGATGTAAACAAATTTGTGCACAAAATCTCATAAATACATTTATTTGTGCATATGAACAATTTCTGGGATTTTTTTATTTCCGCTCATGAAACATGGGACCAACACTTTACATGTTGCGTTTATATTTTTGTTATGTGTATTTGCTGTGTCTCTCTTGGGGACATGTTGGTGTCCTCTGCGGCAGTCAGAGAGTGGGTGGTGGGGATTGAGGACAAGGTAACGGGATCACAGGTGTGTCAAGTGTGCAGTGTGTCCTCGCGTGCTCCGGGGATTGGAGAATGTGGCATCAAGTGACCGGATTGGCCACGTTGTCAGTTGATTTCTAATTTGGGCCGACACAGTTGTAGGCTTTTATTCCCACATCTGTTTATAATATCCTTTAAATAAGCTGCAGGTGTAATTGACACCTATACTAATTAACAATCAGTAGTGTAATATGCAAGGCCTATAATGGTGAGATTGGTGATTGTTCTACATCTCAGATCCCTTTCCACTCTTGGACTTTGGTCTTCTCTCTACTAGCCTAGAACCTGTATTGGGTATTTTCAGTCATTATCTCACTCAATGTGATAGTAAGTAGCCTAGTTTCTAAAACAAAAGAACCAGGATGTAACTTTCCAGTTGAAGAATGTCCGGTTCCCCTTTGGGTGAGGTGCTGCTGATCCACTCCAGCCGTGTCAGATTCTGTTACCATGGCCTTACTGTTGGACAAATATGTGCCATGTTTAGTTTGTCAAATGGTGCCCAGAGGCGTTGGTAATCTCCCAGGTACAATTGGTTAATACTGGGAAGGGAAGTAAAGTCAAAATGGTGTGGCAGTTTGTTTAGGGACAACCATTTACATAAAACAAGACTGACTGGAGGCCTTGGACCTCTGTAGGGTTCTCTCTCTCTCTCTCTCTTCTCTATCTGTATATTAGATATGTACTGTATATGCTATGTCTATTGTATCGATATGTTATGTATAAACTCTAATCTATCTATATCTCTCTTATCTCTATATATATATCTATATATAGCTTATTATATTATATATAGATTAATGGTATATGTATGTGTCAAGTCGTTTGATAGTATTCTATATATACTGGTGGTCTGTCTGTTGTCTGTCGTCTTTGTATGTCTGTCTGTCGTCTGTCTGTCTTGTTGAGTCTTCGTCTGAGTCTTTGTCTGTCTGTCAGTATGTATGTCGTCTGTCTGATGTCGCTTGTTGTCGTCGTCGTGTCTGCTGTCTGTCGTCTGTCTGTCTGTCTGTCGTTGTCTGTCTGTCTGTTGTCTGTCTGTCTGTCTGTTGTCGGTCTGTCTTGTCGTATGCTTCTCTTATGTTGTCTGTCTTTCTGTCTTCTGTCTCTTCTCGTCTGTTTCGTCTCTTCTGTGTCTGATCTTCTGTCTTTTGTCTTCTGTCTGTGTCCTCGTCTTCTGTCATCTCTCTACTAGTCTAGTCTACGTCTTCCGGTTCTCTCTCTTGTTCTATCTTGTGTCTCTCGTGTTCTAGTCGTTATTCTGTTCGTATAGGTCTCTCTTGTCGATCTCTCTCTCTGTCTTCTCTCTGTTTCTCTCTCGTGTCTTATCATTCTGTCACTATTCTTGGTTTGTCGTTCTCTCTTGTCTCTCTTTTTCTCTCCCTCTCTTCTCTCTTCTCTGGTCTCAGTTATCCTGTCATACTCTTCTAATCTTCTTCGATCTGCTGTCTCGTATGATCTACTCTCTACTCTTCATCATAATGCTGCTGTCTGCATCTCTCTCTTCTTCTTCTCTTCTATTCTCTTCTTCTCTCTCTCTTCTCTTCTCTCTTCTCTCTCTCTCTGTCTCTCTCTCTCTGTCTTCTCTCTCTCTTTCTCTCTCTCTCTCTTCTGTCTCTCTCTCTGTCTCTCTCTGTCTTCTTCTCTCTCTTCTCTCTCTCATGTCTCTCTCGTCTCTCTGTCTCTCTTCCTTTCTCTCTCTCTCTCTCTCTCTATCTCTTAACTGCTTCTCTATGTTCTCTCTGTCATCTCGTCACCACGCTGTCTCTCTCGCTCTCTGGTGTTCTTCTAATGTTTAACTTGGTGTGGCTGTATTGTTGTGCTCGGAGCATGATCAGGTCACCTGACTGGTGCAGTGGACAGAAGAACAGACTACAACGGGAAATGGGGGATAATTTCTCTGGACACACCATATTATATTCAGTCTGGTCTTTGTAGTAACTCTACAGCTAGATCTCTCTATAGATTGCCTTCTCTGTACAGCATTCCAAACTGTCTGACTGAACTCTAGAGACATGTTCAGACATGCATCCCTCAGGTACACAGTGACACTCAAAGTAGTAGTCTCCCACAGTATGGCCTTCTTTATGCACTAGTCTCTCTCTAGGGCAGTGTCACCCTTTAGATCAGTCACAATATCCAGAGACATATCTCCCGTAATGCAGTCTCTGACACAGTAGCCTTTGACAACAAGGTTGCGCTCTCTCACTTCAATCTGTCTCTCCAGTGCTGTCTCTTCCCAGTCTATCCCTCTCTCTCCACAATCTGTCATTCTCTCTCTCTGCAGTGCAGTAAAACTCACATTGGGAAAGGTCAGCTCTCGGAGAGGAAACGCTGATCCCAAATCAGTTATTATGGATAGTGTAATCTAATCAGAGCCCCTGTCCCACATAAGCATGATATGTTTGTCTGTAAAGTAATTCACTGCGTTAATGTACTAGACTCTAGATCCAGGAAGAGCATATGGTTGAGATTAAGCATCATAGGGGAATTACAATGTGCGGACCAATGAAACCGCTCCATTATGACGACCCTATAGATCGAGGACCAATCGAACGTCTCCATGTTAAGCACGTATGGCTATAGATTAAGGATCAGTGAAGCACCACCATTGTAAAGACTGTCTAGTTATTACCCTGTTATAGGGGAAATATGCAACTAGACACGCCTCGAGTTACGTATGCAGAATCAGAAGCCTCTAATCTCAAAGGCAGGTGGACTCGTAAGTCACGAGGAGTTGGCTAAGTTTATGAGCCTGGTTGTGAAATTTTCCTATAACAGATGACTAAAGAGAGAGAGCGAGAGAGAGACACTCACTCTTAACCTTGTGGTCTCTGTGTTAAACTGACACACACGATACCCATCACAACCCTCTCTCTCTTTCACACATTTTAATCCCTCTCTTCCTTGTTTATGCTGAATGAGAGAGACTAAGTGAGAACACAGGAAGGAAACGAGTGCATAGTCTTATCTCACTACCGCAGCACTACCACTCTGTGTGAGAGACTGTTTGTGTGTGTCTGACTAGGCATGTGAGTGTGCGATATAGCGCCTTTGCCAGGCTAAATCATGTGTATCTCTATACCACTCTCTCATTGTAAAAAAAGATCCTGGTGAATTTCATTTCTTGGGAACGCTGTCCTTTTTATGATTTTATGATTTAAAAACGGACTGTATTTGTTGTGTGTCCAACCTGTATGCAGTGTGATTGACAGGGCAATCAACTGACTCCTTGACCTGTCTTGTGGCCCTGTCTTGTCTTGACTTAGATCTAGCGATGTAACTTAGGCTTACAAGTGTTTTAAGAATGCATCTTTACTACAACGGCCGAAGATGTAACATGCATTTCCCAAAACACAGCGCAGAGAGAACGGTTGCTAAGTGTGTTGTTGGAGCATGTGTCGATACTGATAGGATTGAAAGAAAGGGAGTGCTGTTCTCGGATCAGCTTTCTCCATTCAAAACTTGAAAAAGAAAAGGAGAGGCGCACACACTAGGAGCTCCGATGCAATCATTTTATAGCCAACGTTTTGAAAGCCAAGATGTCTTCATCATTTATCCTTTTATTTTTCAAGTTTTCTACTGCACCTCGCCTAAACATTTATTTTTTAGTCATTTTAGCAGACGCTCTTATCCAGTGCATACATATTTTTATTTTTTGTTTTTTCATACCCCCTGTGGGAATCAAACCCACAACCCTGGCGTTGCAAACGCCATGCTCTATCAACTGAGCTACATCCCTGCCGGCCATTCCCTTCCCTACCCTGGGCCAATTGCGCGCCGCCCCATGGGTCTCCCGGTCGCGTCCGGCTACGACAGAGCCTGGATTCGAACCAGGATCTCTAGTGGCACAGCTAGCAATGCGATGCAGTGCCTTAGACCACTGCGCCACTCGGGAGACTAAAATAAACAGGTGTGCATTTCTTTCACCTCCATTAAAATCTTACCTTAACATTATAATTATTTTACAATACTGACGATGGATCAGCTCCTAGAGAAATATTACCACCTACAGCTCCAAATATTGAGGTGGTTTATTCTAATGCTTACCCAATACAATGCACATAATCACCTATTTGGCACATCATTGGCGGGAGAGAGAGGGAGAGTCAGAAACAGCAGGTCCAGGACAAGGTAGCACATCTGGTGAACAGGTCAGGGTTCCATAGCCGCAGACAGAACAGTTGAAACTGGAGCAGCAGCATGACCAGGTGGACTGGGGACAGCCAGGAGTCATCAGGGCAGGTAGTCCTGAGGCATGGTCCTAGGGGTCAGGTCCTCTGGGAGGGGAGGGAGGGAGAGAGAGAGAATTAGAGGGAGCATACTTAAATTCTCACAGGGCACCAGATAAGACAGGAGAATTACACCAGATATAACAGACTGACCTTAGCCCCCCGACACATAGACTATTGCAGCATAGATACTGGAGGCTGAGACGGGGGGTTGGGGGACACTGTGGCCCCGTCCGACGATACCCCGGACAGGGCCAACCAGGCATGATATGTTTGAAGGTCAACCTTCACCCCAGTCTGAGGTCCTGAGCACTCTGGAGCAGGTTTTCATCAAGGATATCTCTGTACTTTGCTCCGTTCATCTTTCCCTCGATCCTGACTAGTCGCCCAGTCCCTGCTGCTGAAAAACATCCCTACAGCATGATGCTGCCTCCACCATGCTTCACCGTACTGATGGTGCCAGGTTTCCTCCAGACGTGACACTTGGCATTCAGGCCAAGAGTTCAATCTTGGTTTCATCAGAACAGATAATTACTGAGGAGTGGCTTCCGTCTGGCCACTCTACAATAAAGGCCTGATTGGTGGAGTGCTGCAGAGAGGGTTTTCCTTCTGGAAGGTTCTCCCATCTCCACAGAGGAACTCTGGAGCTCTGTCAGAGTGACCATCGGGTTCTTGGTCACCTCACTGACTAAGGCCCTTCTCCCCCGATTGCTCACTTTGGCCGGGCGGCCAGGTCTAGGAAGAGTCTTGGTGGTTCCAAACTTCTTCCATTTAAGAATGATGGAGGCCACTGTATTCCTGGGGACCTTCAATGCTGCAGAAATGTGTTGGTACCCTTCCCCAGATCTGTGCCTCGACACAATCCTGTCTCTGAGCTCTACGGACAATTCCTTCGACCTCATGGCTTGGTTTTTGCTCTGACATGCACTGTTGACGGTCCCTAACTTGCCTCGGAGATGGCCTATCCAAAGACGAACCAATTTTGCCATGTTCGCACACCAGCTGGCTGAAGCTAAATAATTTGTTTAACTCCTCCCACCTGCGAACACAGACGAGACACCCACATCAAACCACAGCCCAAAACCAACTTGTGTTTGAATTCAGTCATGGCCGTTTAGTATTTTTTCATTAACCAAATGTAAAACTAGGCTAAATCAGGAAGTGCCGTCGCCCTTGAAGTTGACATTCGACAGTGGGTGGACCGGCAGTCATCTTTGTGGTAGTAATTAGAAGTTTACATTTCAGTGGTGTACCAGCTAAATTGCAGTGGTCTGAAGAGAGCGAATTCATAGAATGGACCTATTTCTATGATTGAAATGACACCCACCCTGAATGTTGTCTTTACCAATGGAAGAAAAAAAAAAGTGTCTAAGCTACCACATATGCGAATATGAAAATAATTGGAGTTTCTGCGTTTTTAGATTATTGACGTTAAAGGTTTAAAAATGACAAAATATTTATAAAAAATAGGGCCGTTAAATTGTAATAGAAGTAATTGAGTTAATGGCATTAATCACAATTTTTCAATTTCCTCAAATTTGGCCCTAAAGAAAGCTTTTACCATCTAAAAAGCAGTGCATTAAGTTACAGGCATACTATGCTTTGGTTTTAAGGGACGGAAACAACATTATTTACATGTTTTAATAGCATTTTCACCATAAACAACAATGTTCCCAATGTTTTTAAGTAGGCCTACTCCTTCTTACTGTATCAATGTTCTTAAAGTTTAACATAGCACACACACACACACACTTTGACAGTCCTTCAAAAAATAATAAAATAGTTTGTTAGCTTCTTAAATGATATCAAACTCAACAGTTTATCTTTTCCAGTGATGAAGACTTGGATGTCACATTGGAATGGTGGGGTAAGCAAAATGGGTCAACTTTGAGCTCTGTTGTGTCCTGAATGTTTTGGCATTTCGATCGAAAAAGTCACTTTCTGACCACTTCTTCCATGGGCAAACATGTATGGAAAGTTTTGTTTAAATTAAAATGGATGCTGTCAAAAAGTGGAGGCTCCTCAGAGGAGGAAGGGGAAGACCATCCTACTCAGTGAAGTTTTTTTTCTCCATCCTTTTTAGATAAATGTATACTAAATATATTCACATGCCACCAAATAACTGATTAAAACACAGTTTTGCAATAAAGGTCTACAGTAGCCTCAACAGCACCCTCTAGGGTAGCACCTTGGTGTAGCCGGAGGACAGTTACTTTCCGTCCTCCTCTGGGTACATTGACTTCCATACAAAACCTAGGAAGCTCATGGTTCTCACCCCCTTCCGTAGACTTACAGTAATTATGACGACTTCCGGAGGACGTCCTCCAACCTATCAGAGCTCTTGCAGTATGAACTAACTTGTCCATCCAATCAAAGGATCAGAGAATGAATCTAGTACTGAAAGCATACTCTACAGCCAGCTAGCACTGCAGTGCATAAAGTGTGGTGAGTAGTTGACTCAAAGAGAGAGAAAGACAATAGTTGAACAGTTTTGAACAAATGTGTTTCTTTCAAAAGTTAAGGAGAAGCAGCAGAGGGGGAGAGAGTGAGAGCTAGCTATATTTCATTGTATTTTCCTTTTTTAGTTTACCCTTTGCTTACTTAGCTAATGCAGCTAATTTTGCCTACTCAACAACTGGACTCAAACAGAGAGGAATGCTAGTTATGCTTGCGAGCCGGCTATGGCTATCCAACACTGCATCCACAGATCAAATAAAATGAAATGTTATTGGTCACTTACACATATTTAGCAGATGTTAATGCGGGTTTTGCGAAATGCTAGTGTTCCTAGGTCCAACAGTGCAGTAGTATCTAACAATTCACAACAATACACACATCTAAAAGTAAAATAATAGAATTAAGAAATATAAATATTAGGGAAAAAAATTCTGGGCCTAATGTTAGAAATAACACACAAAAAAAACAGAATACTGCAAAGTTGCTTAGGAGCTAGAAGCAGAGCTTCCAAGTCTGTCGGTGCCATCTTTACTGATAGAACAATGAGACCGATATTTCACTGGATGTATAAATGTGAAGCATCCGCTTGGCGTTTCCACTCACTACCAAATATGGTGGTGAGAGGAAGCCCACTGGCGGGCAGTGGGAGAAGATGGAACGAGATGGATTTTGGCCGACATTCTGCAAATATTCTCATCGATGAAACATTTGATCTCAATATAGTCTTCTGTTCCCAAAGCTACAATCTGTTACGGAACAGTGTGGACTATGTTTTGTAGACTTTACCCTTTGCCAAAGTTTTTTTTAATGTAGTTGTTTAGAAGGAATGCAAAGGTGAATTTAGTTACTGTACACGTGCACTTCAGAGTAGGCGTTCCCTGATGGAAATATGCAAATGTTTGCTAGAATGCGCCAATAGGATCTCGCTAGCTCGTGCTTGGCTCTGCCCACCTCATTGCTTGTTCTGCCCACTATGACTCATTTGTTCCCATTTGAAATGACGGCCTGTGGTCTACGTTGGTTTAGTTATGGTATGAAGGTTTGGCTTGGAGAGGTTTTTGCGCCTGGTCACAGACAGCTGTTGTGTTGTGCACTGAAGTCCACAAGCAAAGAGAAAAGGGGAGGGGAGGAGAGCGCATAGATGCGAGAAGGAATTATCCAACGAGCAAAGTGATGCAGTATGTGGCTGCTATGAAAGTGAACTGTGTGTGCGGGTGATCATGGGTGTATTCATTCCGGAGATTCTGTTGCAAAATGTTTCTTAAACGGAAGCAAGTGGAACTAAACGGGCAGGGAGCTACCTGAATGTGTCCAATAGAAACTTGTTTTGTTTCGACTAATGATACACCCCAGATCAGCTAGATGCAGGCTAGAGTGTGCAAGGCGGTATTGAATGTGTCACTGTCTGTCACCTTGATTACTCCAATTTGTGTGTCGACCTGTGCACCTATGTTATAAACTGTCATATGTAGGCTAGGTTGTAGCAACCTCGTGATGGGGATAGGACAAATTCGAGTATCATGTAGTAGCCTAAACCTATCAATTTTACATTGAGCTGGGTGAATGGAATGTGAATGGCAGTCATCCAATATGCTGTAATAGAAATAAGGCCAAGCTCATAAAAAAATCTTGACCAGCACTAACTGCCACTGAATTCAAATGGATTTTACAGTACAGAGATTGAAATTCAGCAGTTAAGCAAGTTCAAGGTTGGATTGTCACGAGTTCCTGAGGCCTATAACTCTGTCCTGTCATCTGTCACTTGTAGGCCTATACTTCAGAACTTTTGAAGTTGTGGGAGCAATTACGCATGTTATAATTGTAAGCAAAGATATGTGAGGATATGACCTCTGGGTCGTCGTCTTTGGCATCCGGATCGGCCCCCACAGAGGAAGGAGAGAGGGGAAGACATTGAAAACAAGTGTTTTCATTCTATTTCATGCTCATGCTCTCCTTTCATGTAAAAGGATGAGGAAGCATTGTTTTTATTTAAATCTCCCAAAACCCAGTTATATAATGCCCCAAAACTATTTTAGAGCGCTTGCTCTCTATTTTCCTCCCACTCTCTATCTCTCTCTCTCTCTCTATCCACGTACCTACCCACCCACGCTGGGGTCCATAATTATTGGCACCCTTGATAAAGATGAACAAGAAAGACTGTATAGAATAAATAATACAAAAACTGAGCTATATTGTATGCCATTTTTTTTTTGCTCAGAGAAATAGATTTTGTTTAAAAAGGAATAAATAAATAAGAGCCCTGTTTTCAATACTCAGCACCCTCCCCTTGCGAGGATAACGACACTGAGCCTTTTTCTAAAATGTTTTTATGAGATTGGAGAACACTTTCGGCTGGATCTTAGATCGGCGTTTCCCGTTCCTGGTCCTTGAGTACCCCCAACAGTACACATTTTTATTGTAACCCTGGACAAGCACACCTGATTGAACTTGTCAACTAATCATCAAGCCCCCAATGAGCTGAATGAGGTGTGTTGTTGGGGATACTCGAGGGCCAGGGTTGGGAAACACTGTCTTAGACCATTCCTCCATACAGAATCTTTCCAGGTCCTTGACATCCTTCGGTCTGCGCTTATGGACTGCCTTTTTCAATTCAAACCACAGGTTTTCAATGAGGTTCAAGTCTGGAGACTGAGAGGGCCATTGCAAAATGTTGATTTTGTGGTCAATTAACCATTTTTTTGTGGATTTGTATTATTGCTTGGGGTTATTGTCTTGCTGGAAGATCGACTTGCGGCCAAGTGTCATCCTCCTGGCAGCGGCAACCAGGTTTCTGGCTAAAATGTCCTGGTATTTGGTAAAGTTCATGATGCCGTTGCCAATCCCTGGTCTAGACTATCCTATCTGCCAATCAGGGCTGTGTATGTAAATATATTAAAATTTGTATCAACACGCCCATGCGATCAGAATGAGCAGTTCAATGGCAAAAGGAAGCTCAGGGAAATAAATGATCAAATATATATTTGAAGTTATATTCATGAAATAAACACAATGATTTATTAGACATACTGTACAGTGATCATTTAATTATTATTCTTTTTAAACCCCCCCCCTCCCGGCCCAGCTGATGATATAGCCTGGTGGTGTTAAGTCTGTTCACATGTTTATTTAAGCAGGAGAGGTCAGCTAAGAACTGGTTATGTTCCTTCCTCAGCCCTGTCCTCGCCCTTCACAGTGTCAATATCGCCAAGCCTTGTGGTCTCTGTACTTAGGTCTCTGTATGTTCTCTATTTACAGTCATGATGTCAGTGTGTAGTGCGCATACACTGTTGATCCACTGTTTTAATACAGTACTGATATTGCCTTCTGCTTCTCCTGTTAGACATGTGACAATGACGATGAAGAAGTGGAAATTGCCATCGACAATGCAGCTTTTATGGATGAGTTTTTCTCTCAGGTGAGGTCATTTTTCCAACGGACTTTGTGTGCATGCGTGTGTGTGTGTGTGTGTGTGAGTGTAACTGTATTTTTCTCTCCGTTTCAGATCGAGGACATCAGGAACAGTATTGATAAGATTGATGAGAATGTGTCTGAAGTCAAGAAGCTCTACTCAGTCATCCTGTCTGCCCCCACATCAGACCAGAGTAAAACATACTGCCTCTGCTCCTGCCCATCCGTCTGTCTTTGTCTTGCTGCCTCCTATACTGTCAGTGTGGGTTTTCATTTGCGTTTCTTCCTCCAGAAACACAGGATGACTTGGAGGCTGTCACCAACGACATCAAGAAGATGGCTAACAACGCCCGGAACAAACTCAAAAGTGAGTCCCTCACACATGATACGGCACACAGACTAAATGCTGATTGGTTAATATGGCTATGGGTGACTGCTGATTGTCTAATCATGTTGATTGATTCTCAGCCATCGAGAGGAATCTGGAGTCTGAGGAAGAGGAGAGGATTTCAGCCGACATGCGGATTCGCAAATCACAGGTCAGCCTCCGAAAGTTCTCCTCTAACCCTTTACCTAACCCTGTGCCTAACCATCACTGTGACCATATAAATTAATATCGAACCATTGGATTGTTATGGCTTGTGACCCTTTCCTGTCCTCCCAGCATGCAGTGCTGTCCAGGAAGTTTGTGGAAGTGATGACCAAGTACAATGAGGCCCAGGTGGACTTCAGGGAGAGGAGTAAAGGACGCATCCAGAGACAGCTAGAGATCAGTGAGTTAGACACAGTCTTAAACACAGTTTGTGACACAGTGGACCATAACCTTGTGTACAGTGGGGAAAAAAAGTATTTAGTCAGCCACCAATTGTGCAAGTTCTCCCGCTTAAAAAGACGAGAGAGGCCTGTAATTTTCATCATAGGTACACGTCAACTATGACAGACAAATTGATAGAAAAAAATCCAGAAAATCACATTGTAGGATTTTTTATGAATTTATTTGCAAATTATGGTGGAAAATAAGTATTTGATCAATAACAAAAGTTTCTCAATACTTTGTTATATACCCTTTGTTGGCAATGACACAGGTCAAACGTTTTCTGTAAGTCTTCACAAGGTTTTCACACACTGTTGCTGGTATTTTGGCCCATTCCTCCATGCAGATCTCCTCTAGAGCAGTGATGTTTTGGGGCTGTCGCTGGGCAACACGGACTTTCAACTCCCTCCAAAGATTTTCTATGGGGTTGAGATCTGGAGACTGGCTAGGCCACTCCAGGACCTTGAAATGCTTCTTACGAAGCCACTCCTTCATTGCCCGGGTGGTGTGTTTGGGATCATTGTCATGCTGAAAGACCCAGCCACATTTAATCTTCAATGCCCTTGCTGATGGAAGGAGGTTTTCACTCAAAATCTCACGATACATGGCCCCATTCATTCTTTCCTTTACACGGATCAGTCGTCCTGGTCCCTTTGCAGAAAAACAGCCCCAAAGCATGATGTTTCCACCCCCATGCTTCACAGTAGGTATGGTGTTCTTTGGATGCAACTCAGCATTCTTTGTCCTCCAAACACGACGAGTTGAGTTTTTACCAAAAAGTTATATTTTGGTTTCATCTGACCATATGACATTCTCCCAATCCTCTTCTGGATCATCCAAATGCACTCTAGCAATCTTCAGACGGGCCTGGACATGTACTGGCTTAAGCAGAGGGACACGTCTGGCACTGCAGGATTTGAGTCCCTGGTGGCGTAGTGTGTTACTGATGGTAGGCTTTGTTACTTTGGTCCCAGCTCTCTGCAGGTCATTCACTAGGTCCCCCCGTGTGGTTCTGGGATTTTTGCTCACCGTTCTTGTGATCATTTTGACCCCACGGGGTGAGATCTTGCGTGGTGCCCCAGATCGAGGGAGATTATCAGTGGTCTTGTATGTCTTCCATTTCCTAATAATTGCTCCCACAGTTGATTTCTTCAAACCAAGCTGCTTACCTATTGCAGATTCAGTCTTCCCAGCCTGGTGCAGGTCTACAATTGTGTTTCTGGTGTCCTTTGACAGCTCTTTGGTCTTGGCCATAGTGGAGTTTGGAGTGTGACTGTTTGAGGTTGTGGACAGGTGTCTTTTATACTGATCACAAGTTCAAACAGGTGCCATTAATACAGGTAACGAATGGAGGACAGAGGAGCCTGTTAAAGAAGAAGTTGCAGGTCTGTGAGAGCCAGAAATCTTGCTTGTTTGTAGGTGACCAAATACTTATTTTCCACCATAATTTGCAAAAAAAATCATTAAAAATCCTACAATGTGATTTTCTGGATTTTTTTCTCTCAATTTGTCTGTCATAGTTGACGTGTACCTATGATGAAAATTACAGGCCTCTCTCATCTTTTTAAGTGGGAGAACTTGCACAATTGGTGGCTGACTAAATACTTTTTTCCCCCACTGTATATACTGAAATTATCCTCTGTTTCTCAGCTGGCAAAGCCACAACAGACGAGGAGCTGGAGGAGATGTTAGAGGGTGGAAACTCAGCCGTCTTCACTTCAGGGGTAAGAAAGTGTTTTAGTGTGCGTGTGTGTGCGTGCGCGTGCGTGCGTGCGTGTGTGTGTGTGTGCGTGTGTGTGTGTGTGCGTGTGTGTGTGTGTGTCTGTGTGTGTGTGTACTAACTAACCACCACCTCTCTGTAGATCATGGACTCTGGGATCTCGAAGCAGGCTCTCAGTGAGATTGAGGCACGACACAAAGACATTGTGCGTCTGGAGAGCAGCATCAAAGAGCTGCACGACATGTTTGTAGACATCGCCATGCTGGTGGAGAGCCAGGTACACTCCTCCTCCGATCCATCTATTCAGTCATTCATTTCTTCATCCATCCACTATTTCATATCTCTGCCCTACATTTAAACCCTACTATGTCTAACTTTCTCTCCTGTTCGCTCCCTCTCCCTCGTTCCCTGTCTGTCATCCCTTCTTTTCCAGTACCCTCTCCCTTTCTCCTTCCGCTGTGCTTTCCTCCTCTCTCCCCTTATGTCTCTCTATCCATCGGTCTCCCTCCCGTCTCACATTCATCTTCAGTAAGAGTCTACATTCTCAGTAAGAGTCACATTTGATTGAACATCTTAGTAGCCTTCAGTGGTCTGTGAATCACTAAAGCCACATTGGAATCGACCCAACCCCATACTGTAGTCACCGCACAACTACATATAATCTCTGTAACCACATGTATCTTGTTGGTTGTCCTATGCTTTCTGAGGGAAAGCCGTGTGCGAGGTAAGCATCTTCATTCTTTCTAATATATGCCTCTTTGGGATGTTTTAGTCTCTGATGTGTACAGTTAGCATGTGACGTTAAATTTTTTCTAACTCTGTATACTCACTGTGTGTGTTTTATGTTTCAGGGTGACATAGTAAACAACATAGAGGTGCAAGTGTCTAAAGCTGTGGACCACATAGTAGTGGCTAAGACTGAGACCAAAAAAGCCATCCAGTACCAGAGCAAAGCACGCAAGGTACTGCACTCCATCCAACACTCTCTACCAACGCCCTAATATTAATCATCAGCTAAAACTGCTATCCGCTTGAACCTAAATCAACTATGCTACGGTCCCTGTTTCTAGGAAGCTTCTATATGGTTAGCCCAAGATGTACTCTTAAGGAGCCTACCGCTACTCCTTAAGGTCCAAGGACCTTACATGTTATTTTCAGGGGTAGACTGGCTCTGGCAGCCAAAACAGCCAAATACTCAATCTAAACGTGAATCATTTCTTAATTGCGATACATTTCTAGAAACATAAATCCTTCTACTTTTATATCACATCAAACTAATTTCACCAATGCAAAATATACACTTTTATAAACTGGGTGGTTCAAGCCCTGAATGCTGATTGGCTGAAAGCCGTGGTATATCAGACCGTATACCATGGTTATGACAAAACATTTATTTTTACTGCTCTAATTACGTTAGTAACCAGTTTATAATAGCAATAAGGCACCTTGGGGGTTTGTGGTATATGGCCAATATACCATGGCTAAGGGCTGTGTCCTAGCACTCCGCGTTGCTTATTGCCCCCTCGGGCCTTATTGCTTAAATGTACACTGTTTTAACCGGCTTTATCACAGTTGCAACCAACAGTATTTTTGCGGCCTTCTTCTGTTACACACAGGTGTTCAGAGCATGCTAGATAGCTAATTGGCACAGGTGTTACCTCTGTCTGTCTTCCGTAAACACACGCTGTAACATGGAGATATGGCCGTGTGGGAACCCTAACACTATAAAGTTCTGTATCAATGTAACCTTTTGTTTTTTGAAAATAATTTCTGATATGAAAGAGAAGGACTGTTCAGACCGAGCGACGGGGCTCTTAACAAAACTCTTATGTGTAATGTAATGGAACTGAGAGTCATGATCAAGGGCTACTATACGGTATGCAGCAATTTCTGAAACACATCAACATTTTCACACACTTACACATTAAAAACACACTGAGGACTATACACTCCCCTCACACACTGCTTGTCTCACACACACCACCGTGTGTCTTCTCTTCTGCTTTTCTCTGCGCCCGTCTCTCTCTCCCTCTTCTCTTTCTCTATCACTTCCTCTGCACGTCTCTTTCCTGCGATGTCCTGCCCTCTGCCAGGGTGGAATGATTGAGAGGATTGAGAACAACATGGACCAATCGGTGGGCTTCGTAGAGCGGGCGGTAGCTGACACTAAGAAAGCCGCCAAGTTTCAGCAGGAGGCCCGTCGTGTGAGTGGCTATAGAAAGGCCCTTGTCCCACCCCCTGGCCCCTCCCCCTGCTCCGTTGACCAGCCTCTATTGGCCTGGCACCCTTGTACCCAACGATCCCCATCCTAAACCTTAAATCCTCCTCCTACAGATCTGGACCAATACACCCCTGAAAGAGGATACAGACACACACATTGTACACTTCTCTGGTCATTCTCCATCTCGCTCTATGTCTTTTCCGCTTCCTTTCTAGCTGTATATAATTTCCTTCTTTCAATAGTAACTACAGTTTTATGTGTTTTCCAGTGATTTATGATGACTTTATGTAACATTCTGCTCTGAGTCATGTGTTTTAGGCTGTTTTGAAAATGTTTGAAAAGAGATGTTGTCGCTTTGCCCAGGAATACGTAGTGAAAAGTGGACATGACCGTTTCTCGACATAAAGTGTTGATTGTAGTCAGGGCTTGATAATCATCTTTTGCTTTCTACAGGAAATAGTGTTAATACTGGTTACTGCTGTTCAGAAGTGGTCACGGTAGTGAACACAGTTTTTATCAACAGAAAGCATTTGTAAAAGTTGTTTCCCACAAGAAATGGTCTTCATAGCAGACACCTAATTGTTCCCCACAGAAAATGGTGATCATAGTGGCAATTCTGATTATCGTGCTGGCCATAGTGGCTCTGATTATTGGGTTGTCGGTGGGATTGAGTACGAAGAAGTGATGAAAGGTGTGTGAATAAGAGTTGTGTAAAGGGTGAGTAAACTCGAGTGTCACTGTGGGGTGTGGGTGGATCTGGAACTTTGGCTGTTTCCATTTTCCTTGCCTTCGACCGTCTCTGGGTGTGTGGTGTGAAGGTATTAAAATGTTTAGGCGTTCATGCTCCTTGGTCTGTTTATGGGGTGTGTTTTTGTACTATCTCTGGGTGTACTGCATGTCTTATCTGGAGGTCCTTCGAAGCATTTCACAAGTGCACTCGTTGCATATTGTAAGGGTTGGGTTCATAGAAATAGCATTCTTTATCTCTATGGCTGGGTCACTAGTTGGCACTGTGTAGGTCAGTCTCCCAATGGTGTCTTTGGGCTCTGTGTGAATGTGTGGGGTAGTACAGTGCCTTCGGAAAGTATTCAGATCCCTTGACTTTTTCCAAGTTTTGTTACGTTACAGCCTTATTCTAAAATGGATTAAATAAGTAAAAAATCCTCATCAATCTACACACAATACCCCATAATGACAAAGCGAATACAGGTTTTTAGACGTTTTAGCAAATGTATTACAAATTAAAAACAGATACCTTTTATTTACAGAAGTATTCAGACCTTTTGCTATGAGACTCGAAATTGAGCTCAGGTGCATCCTGTTTCCATTGATCATCCTTCAGATGTTCCTACAACTTGATTGGAGTCCAACTGTGATAAATTCAATTGATTGGACATGATTTGGAAAGGCACACAACTGTCTATAAAAGGTCCCACAGTTGACAGTGCATAAAAGGTCCCACAGTTGACAGCAAAAACCAAGCCATGAGGTCGAAGGAATTGTCCGTAGAGCTCCGAGACAGGATTGTGTCGAGGCACAGATCTGGGGAAGGGTACCAAAACATGTCTGCAGCATTGAGGGTCCCCAAGAATACAGTGCCCTCCATCATTCTTAAATGGAAGAAGTTTGGAACCATCAAGACTCTTCCTAGAGCTGGCCGCCCGGCCTAAATGAGCAATCGGGAGAGAAGGGCCTTGGTCAGGGAGGTGACCAAGAACCTGATGGTCACTCTGACAGAGCTCCAGAGTTCCTCTGTGGAGATGGGAGAACCTTCCAGATTGACAACCATCTCTGCAGTACTCCACCAATCAGGCCTTTATGGTAGATTGGCCAGACGGAAGCCACTCCTCAGTAAAAGGCACATAACCGCCCACTTGGAGTTTGCCAAAAGTAACGTAAAGACTCTGACCATGAGAAACAAGATTATCTGGTCTGATGAAACCAAGATTGAACTCTTTGGCCTGAATGCCAAGCGTCACGTCTGGAGGAAACCTGGTACCATCCCTACAGTGAAGCATGGTGGTGGCAGCATCATGCTGTGGGGATGTTTTTCAGCGGCAGGGACTGGGAGACTAGTCAGGATCGAGGGAAAGATGAACGGAGCAAAGTACAGAGAGATCCTTGATGAAAACCTGCTCCAGAGCGCTCAGGACCTCAGACTGGTGTGAAGGTTCACCTTCCAACAGGACAACGACCCTAAGCACACAGCCAAGACAACGCAGGAGTGGCTTCGGGACAAGTCTCTGAATGTCCTTGAGTGGCCCAGCCAGAGCCTGGACTTGAACCTGATCAAACATCTCTGGAGAGACCTGAAAATAGCTGTGAAGCAACGCTCCCCATCCAACCTGACAGAGCTTGAGAGGATCTGCAGAGTAGAATAGGAGACACTCACCAGATACAGGTGTGCCAAGCTTGTAGCGTCATACCCAAGAAGACTCAAGGCTGTAATCACTGCCAAAGGTGCTTAAACAACGTCCTGAGTAAAAGGTCTGAATACTTATGTAAATGTGATTTATTTTCAGTATTTTTAAAATGATAAATTAGCACATATGACTAAACCTATTTTTGCTTCGTCATTATGGGGTGTTGTGTGTAGATTGATGAGGGGAAAAATACAATTTAATAAATGTTAGTATAATGCTGTAACGTAACAAAATGTGGAAAAAGTCAAGGGGTCTGAAATCTTTCCGAAGGCACTGTATATGTGTGTTTAAGTTTCTCATTGGGGTCTTTGGGCTGTGTAGTATGTCCTGTTTGACTAGAACACTGATGATGACTCACTGTGTTATGATGGGTGGGGATCTTCATTTGCTGTCAATCACTGACTCATATCGGCCAATAGAAGCTCTGCATCAAAGAGCCTCTGTTGGTCAGACTTGCCTGATGATGACTGACAGTGCATGATATTCCCGTCCATGTTAAGAGCTTCATTTCCCTTGGTAATTCTGTCTGTGTATCACCACCTCATTTATTACTGTAAATATTGATGTATTTGTTCTCCCATTTTTTTCTCCCCCTCTGTAGAAGACAATCATTATAGCAGTGGTCTGTACTGTGCTTGCTGTCCTCATCCTCGCCATCATCCTATCACAGACAGTAGGGTAATAGAGGGACCACGGCCCCCACCCACCCAACTTCTCCATCTTCATAATCACTCTAGTCTGCCCTCCTCCAGCTGTAACGGCAAAAAGGGGGATGTAGCCTCAACTAATCACTCCCGTTGCCCTGGGATCCTCCCCCTCTCTTACTGTATATCTGACCAATAGAAAAAGGCCCAGCCAGTGGGACTGGCTGGTGTCTTCCCTGAGGTGGCTGAGAGGATGAGTATCAGGTGGGAGAGAAACAAGAGGACCAAAGCTGAGACTGTTTATGAGCCTCTGATAAGGCCAATAAAAGGGAATCTGAAGAAATTGATATCTTTACCCTCACACAACTAAATGGACACCATGCAACACACCATGAAATTCTCTGAACTGCTTTCTATGTTTCCAATAATGTAAATAATGTGATTGATCTTGATCCACACTGAAGGGAATTGATGACACTCCTCTCCCCAATACAAAAACCTCCATTGACTTAATGTACCCCTGCCACCACCGTGCCTTATTGTCTTGCCATGATGACCCTCCAAGCTGAAAGGTAACCAGCCATCCACAGCCTCCTCCAGCCCACAGAGGAAATGGTGCATTGTTTATCTCACCTATGATTATTGTACTGAGGATGGAAACCAGTGTATTTCAATTCAGTTTATGTAAAGCAATGTGCATGTGTTTGATGCCACTTGAATAGTTTTTTTTTTAACTCCTAAAGCACACCTTACCTCTGAGCGTTTGGGAGAGATCTTAGTCTAACATCTGATTTGCTCCTAAAGCCTTTCTTTACTATCTGTCTAATTTAAATTAATTTCCATACCTCAGACATGGTGGCCGATGGCAAGGCTTTAAATGAGACACTGAGGGAAGATCTCAATTACCTACTCCTCACGTCCCCTTTCCTCGTCTCCTTCTCAAAACCCATTGGAGGAGAAGGTCCAAATGGAGGGACCTCTGGCTTTCTCATCCAGTGGGTTTTGAGTTGGAGAGAGGATGCCTGGAGAATGCAATTGAGATCATCCCTGAGGGTCTGGACATTTCAATCTGTAAATTTCAAGACTGTTTTAAATGTATTTTAAATATAATCTAACTTCACTGTAGTATTATGGTGGATACCAGAGATTTGAATGATGGAATAAAATATATATATATATATATTTTTTAATGGTTTTGTTGAGACTGCTGGTGTTGTGGTTCATGCTGCTGAAATCTGCGTTGTGCAATACTGAGTTGGCAGACTTGGCACGTCTGAATGATCGGTTAAACTGTGAATGTGGGTTAGTTTGACTTTGTGAGTGAATCATTGTTTGACTGTAAGTGCACATTTTTCTCTGAAGAAACTTGTATTTATGGTGATAGGTTATTATCAATCTGCTGTATTGGAATACAGTATTTAGAGAATGGCAATGACAGCAGCACCTAGAGTCTGGGGTAAGGTACTGAAGTAAAGAGAAGGTAAGTCTCTCTTTCTCCCTCTCTCCTCTCTCACATTCTTTTATTCACACAAACAGGCCTGTACTGACACACACACCCTCCCCTCTGACCCTGCTCTCTCCTGTGACCTTGGTCCTTCCTTCCTTCCCTTTAACTGTCTCCTACAGGATGATGGGGAAATAGGTTGTTGTTGTCTGCTTCCATTGGAGTTTGGATGAGACGCTTACAGTCCTCCCTCGGTTCGAAGAGAAAATATGTCTTACTGATGATAGAATTTTACATTTGCAAAATGATCTAGGTTGTTGTATTTAATTAATGAGTTAAATAAGTGTTTTAAAGCCTTTGATTGTATCAGGTAGGGACCAGCAGTCCATTAAATGTTCTGTGATATTTTAACTCTCCTATCCTCCTCGTTTGTTTCTCCCCATTCCTTTTGATCTTGTTTTGAATCTGCAGAAGAAGATGATGATCACATTGTGCTGTACCATTATCGGGATCGTTGGGTTTTCCTATTTGTACAGTTTCTTCTCATAGAGGTTTAGAACGGGTAAAGGACACACACACACGGTTCCATCTAGCACCATTTAGATTATAGCCCACATGACAATCACTGTAAACCTGTCTGAGTTATATCTTTTTTTTTTCTCTTTTTCTTTGCCCTTGCTTTCAGATGAACAGAAGAATGGCCCCCTTTTTACCCATATAACCTTTATATGACTGAAGTGTCCCTCTCTTCCTTATTGCTCTAATTGAAAAATAAATAGAAAAGGACCTGTGACAACTTCTCTCATCCCCCTTGCTCCCTGACCTGGTTCTCTTTGTCCTCTTGCTGTATGAAGTGTAGGAAAATGTGTAACAAAAAAAAAATATATATATTAATTTAGCTCACTGCTTCCAATTTCTCATTCAGATGACATAGGGTGGTATTCCATCCTAGAACTAATGTTATGAAGATCCTGTGCACTATGAGATTGGCGCCCCCTGCCAATGACAATAGGACATTGTGGTACCATCTGTATGCAAAATACATTGGGGGAATATTTGGATAAATGTATTCTAATGTATCAATGACTGAAATATGTGCATAAGAAAAGATGATATTATACTTGAGCACAACATTTAACATTATAAATATAGTTATAGCTGTGACTCGTGGTCAAAATCCTTAATTTACCCAGTCATGTATTTTATTGAACATGTATTTGTTTCTTCATGATGTAAGGTTGTGTGTGGTTGTCTGTCATACAATGTTGTTTTTTTCGGTATGCTGTGTCAATATGTATTGTGCTGAAATGTTAGTGATGGTCTTTTCAACGATGAGTGGTTGTCAGTCATTCGGTGTGGTTGTGTGTCAGCCCAGTAAAGCTTGTTATGTAATAAAATATTGTTTGTGTGTGCTATTAGTGCGCCGCTTGTCTTTTATTCTCTATTTTTCCTCATCTGTTGAAGAAACGTTTTTATGTTTTTCGTTGGCAGGTGGCATTCAGAGACTAGTTGAATGGGATGGGACAACTATTGTCCCCCTAATATGTTCCCTTGTCCTTATGACAATGGTCTTTACTTGGAATCTTCAGCCTCACTGTGTTCCGATATGATTGGTTTATGTACATAAGTTGTTCCCCATACTGGTCTTATGATAGGCTCTCTTGTTGACCTAATTTTGACACCCCAGCGAATAATGTTTTGCTCACGTCAGTGGTCTCTACTGCCATAGGCTGTCACACCACGTGGGGCGCAATTTAAACGGCTCAACAAACTTCCTTCTCTCAGAATGACATAACTTTTACTCAATCACAACATTCCTATGTTGATTTATCCACTTACTATTGGATGGCAGTATAAATTGGGGGGCGGGTCCTTCTCTTTGGGGGTAGTGGGGTGTGTGTTTTGTGCTCAGCTGAAAATGGCGGACCGAAGCAGATCGCTTTAACTTTATCGCACAATAACAAGGATAACAAACTACACAGCTAAAATTATATAAAATGGATACAAACTTCAGCGAGAACTTCTAGAAACCATTCTACAGGATAACATACAGACCACAACAACCCAAGGAGTTCTTTCAGTGGTAAAGTGAAAAGTAATCTCAAAATAATACGTTAGCCATTTCCCGATTAGGACGCTAACGTTAGCTCAATGGCTAACTAGCTAACGAATGAAGACGCTAACGTCAGATCATTTGAGCTACATAAAGATTCCCCACAAATGTAACTAACATTATACAATTATATTTAGCTGGATATGTTAACTAGGTAACGTTAGGTTATTAACTGAAATTGCGTCCGAACAGAGGACAACTACACACTCTAATGTATTCAGGGAAGTTAGCTAGCTGACTAACAACAGTATTGTAGCTAACGCGTTAGCATATGTAGATAGCATAACTGGTTTTGTTGCAAAAAAGTGTAATTAGCATATTCCAGTTTTTGTCAACAATAATGATAACTAGCTAACGGTGGCTAGTTAAGTTAACGTTAGCAAACTAACGGTATCATTTGATTGTTGTTGCGATTGTTAGCTACAGTAGTTAGCTATATTATGTAGCTAGCTAAAGACACTTATTACCAGTTATTTAGTACTTAGCATTAACTAGCTATATATCATAATATTCAGTCAGTCATATATTTTAACGTTAGCCAAAACTAGCTAATGTTTATCCTTGTCCTCTTACTGTAGCTGGCAAACTGTCAATCCAAGCGTCAGAAGTTGAGGGTATTTTATATTCATATGCCAACAATTGGCCTATAGTTTGGCTTTCAAAAGCTTTACCATTAGCTGTTAAATTAGTTCGCTAGCTGCTCAATTAGGCTGTTCATAGCATTGTGATTTCTCAACAGTCTCATTCCTGTCTTAGGTCATGGAAGACCAGAACCCACGTTACAGCAAGCGCTTGGTAAGTACAATTTAACTAGATAGCTACGTTTTGGTGTGTTAACTAAAATAGTTTTGCACGTTTTATATAGCTAGTTTCCCTAAAGAAAACCACTGTTGCATCGGTAACAAGCTAAATCGATGAGATGGTGTTGCGGATCTGTTGGCTTGACAATAGACTGGATGCGTGTCAGTGGGTTCAATGTAGGGTCAAGTTCAAGTTCACTGTTGTCTGACCTGATAATGTTTGCTCATGTCGCTTTACATTAGGTTGAACTTTTTGTTACCATGCCGTGACTTAGTAGACCCATTTAGGCTTTTCTAAGGGGTGTATGTTTTGTTTTTTATGCTGTCATTAAAAAGAATCCACTGAATTATAGATAATAATGGAATGTTTGTGTGTGGATCTTAGAATGTGTAGTTAGTCAAGATATGAGAATGGACCAGTCCAGCTGAGTTGCAGAGCAATAGGAAACAGCATGCGAGGTGTTTTGAGTAAAGATAATACCATGCAGAGCCAGGGTTTGGTGGAACAGGATGGGGGGTGGGGTGTTGTGCTGGACCCATCTGTCTAGCCAAGCTATAGGAGCAAGGGGTGAATGGAAGTAAGGGGGATGGGGTTGTAGTAGGATAAGGCCCTCCTTCTGTGATGCCCACGCAGACCATTGCGTGACTGAATGACTGATCTGCAAATCTTTCTGTTATGGGTCTTCATTGAGTATACAAAACATTAAGAGCACCTGCTCTTTCCATGACATAGACTGACCAGGTGAAAGTGATGATCCCTTATTGATGTTACTTGTTATATCCACTTAAATCCGTGTAGATGAAGGGGAGGAGACAGGTTAAAGAAGGATTTTTAATCCTTGAGACAATTGAGACATGGATTGAATGGGCAAGACACAATATTTAAGTTCCTTTGAACAGGGTATGGTAGTAGGTGGCAGGTGCACCAGTTTGTGTCAAAAACTGCAAAGCTGCTGGGTTTTTCACGCTCAACAGTTTCCCATGTGTATCAAGAATGGTCTACCACCCAAAGGACATCTAGCCAACTTGACAAAACTGTGGGAAGCATTGGAGTCAACATGGGTCAGCGTCCCTGTGGAACACTTTCGACACCTTGTAGAGTCCATGCCCAGACATATTGAGTCTGTTCGAGCAACTCTATTAGGAAGGTGTTCCTAATATTTGGTATACTCAGTGGTGTGTTGCCGATGTGAAATGGCTATCTTGTTAGCAGTGCATGCTAGTAGCGTTCAATCGGTGACGTCCCTCGCTCTGAGACCTTAAAGGCAGTTGTTTTCATTGCTCTGCGAGGGCCACTGCTTTTGTTGAGCGATAGTTAACGATTCTTCTTGGGTGGCAGTTGTTGATGTATTCAGAGGGTCCCTGGTTCGAGCCAATGTTGTGGTAAAGAGGGACAAAGGCTATACTGTTACATATGCATGGTTTTAGCAGTAATCTCCTTCAAAGTGATAAAAGAAGGGCTGTGACAGTCTTGGAATTTGAGGTTACGGTAATTGGCCAGGCCAATGTACATGGTCACCGACATAACCGTTCAGGGGGAGGTCACAATTCTGTTTACACACTTGTTTACATGGATATGCTTATTAATAAAACCTATTTGAAACAAGCCATTACACTTTATTATTATCATGGCATTTCATTATTATTATTCTGGTTATTACTTATAAATATTAATCAACAAATCTGTTGCATTTTCGTATTGACACAACATTAACAGAGTCAAAGTAAGGATATATGCCTACCTTGTCCTTGTCTGTTTGCTTTTCTGCATATACATTTTTTAAAATACAGATCCTATTTCGACGCAGAAAACCATTGAAACGAAGTCACGAACATCGCAAACTCTGCTGCTGCGGTCATTCGATGGCAGTGGCATATGTTCTTCAAAGAGAGGATGCCGTAATGAGAGAAATAATGTAGCCTAAACTACTGAAAATAGGCCTTTTACAAGATTAAATCATGACAGGAGCATTTGATTCTTATGAAGGAGATGGAGTCCAGACAGGCTACTTTTAGGAAACTTTCTAAATGGACATGTAGTATAGGCCTATAGAGAGAATCAGCAAACTCACACACGCACACCCTCGTAAAAGCACCTGTCAATCAAAGCCACCAGCATATGTCAGACAGCAAATATTGATCCTTTCCTTAAAACGTATTAAAAAACCTAGGCCTACCTTAGGCTTTCGGAAAGTACGCTATAAGATAATGCATTGACAAGGAAAGTATGAAGTGGACAGCTATCCTATAGTATGAATATGAAATTGCATCGCAGTGCTAACTGTGCCACTAGAGATCCTGGTTCGAATCCAGGCTCTGTCGCAGCCGGCCGCGACCAGGAGACTCATGGGCGGCGCACAATTGGCCCAGCATCGTCCAGGGTAGGGGAGGGAATGGCCGGCAGGGATGTAGCTCAGTTGATAGAGCATGGCGTTTGCAACGCCAGGGTTGTGGGTTTGATTCCCACGGGGGGCCAGTATAAAAAAAAAAAAAATGTATTCACTAACTGTAAGTCGCTCTGGATAAGAGCGTCTGCTAAATGACTAAAATGTAAATGTAAATTGACAATCATTAAAATAGAAACAAATACACACAACATGTCCATAGCCTATTTGTCAGTGACGCTGATTATCGAAGGGGAGAGTGTTGGAAAGATTTTTCGAATACTGTGAGGAACTGTTATAATATGAATGGATGTAAAAAAAAAAAAAAAAAAAAAAAGGGACTTTGTTGACTTAATGTGTGAGGTGAAGAAAAAATTACTGAGAAACCCAGCTGGGCACTTTCCTACATTTGACATTTGCTAGATGCAGGCCAGGTACTTCTATGCGTGCTCAGGCACTCGCAATTATTTTACTACCATAGCCTATAGCACTCTACACCCCTGCACATCTAGTGGATAAGCTGCCTGAGCATCAAAGGACAGTTGGAAAGAGGATGAGCTGTAGACAGTTTAATAGACAGATTAAGTTAGCAAAACAATTGCTTATAATCATTAGTAAACACTCCCACTATTAGGATCTACATGAAAATAGTCAACATTTTTTAAATATCCTAAAATGAATGTAGGCCTATTTAAATGGTTTTGACAGTTATTTTATTTTCATGACGGTCTTCGTCCATAACCGTCAGTTACACGGTTATTCAATTACCATCAAAGTTGAGTTTCTGCCTTGTGTCACTAGCGTACAGGGACGCGGCGGCGCTACCTCGATGATGGGATCTCGGACGATGAGATTGAGGGGAAGAGGACCTTTGACCTGGATGAGAAGCTGTTGAGTGACCGGTTCAACTCCAACCTGGTTAAACACATGGAGGGAAAAGGTCAGGGGTCAAACCACGCTATGATATCCCTTAGAGGCTTTAACCAGGTTTCTCCTATGTTATGATCTTGACCTGGAAAAACGTGTTAGTTTTGTAATCTGGCAAAACTCTTGGCCCTAATTATGGTTCTACTTCTTTGATTACTCTTGGTGTGCCTGCCCTGCATTGTTGACGATAACGTGTGTTTCTCTACAGACTTCACATTCGAGTACATCCAGAGGGAGGGGCTAAGAGACCCTCTCATCTTTGAGAAAAAAGACGGCCTCGGCTTAGAGTAGGTCACTCTTCTTCTTCTAATTATCTAGCCGACCTTTGGAGATCTGTGGAGAGATGGAAATATAACTGTTGGCTCACTCTCTGATTCTCCAGCTTTATTCAATAACCCCCCTCTCGCTCTCTCTCTTTCCCTTTCGCTCTCTCTCATTTTTTCAGGATGCCAGACTCTGATTTCAGTGTGAGTGATGTCAAGCTGTTCGTAGGTAAGGCCCAAACTAAGAACACTCTCTTATGAACTCACAGCTGCTGATTTCAACTGATTTCAAAACAGTGCTGCAGGCCCTGTAAATAATTATCCCTGCCCTTTGCCTGTCCCCCTCTGTCATAGGCAGTCGGAGGATGGTTGACGTTATGGATGTGACCACTCAGAAGGGCATCGAGATGTCCATGGCCCAATGGCGGCGGTACTACGAGACCCCGCCCTCGGAGCGAGATAAGCTCTATAACGTCATCAGCTTGGAGTTCAGTCACACCAAGCTGGAGAACCTGGTGAAACGACCCACCTCGGTAAGACACACAAACCAGTATTGCTGAGAGAGTAACAGATTCATTTACCAGCTGCAGTTTATTTTGGACCTAAGCTTGTCACCTGCCTTCCCGCCTTTGGGACAACGACTCCCATTGTTAGAGCGGAGACATGAGTATCTCATCATTATATACAGATCTCTGGACGGATACACTTTTACGGCTGCAACGTTAGGTTAGATATACACAGACCGTATGAGAGAGGAATGTACACAACACAATGAGGAGAGAGAGGGATTGAGACAGTTCAGGGAAGTATGCCTTATCTACTTTGAAGAACTAGTAAAATTATTGTCAGACAGCTCTGCAGCATACTTAGGCAGGCTAGCTAAATAGGATGACTAAAGACACTACAGTCCCGAGTGGCGCAGTGGTCTAAGGCACTGCATCGCAGTGCTAGCTGTGCCACTAGAGATCCTGGTTCGAATCCAGGCTCTGTCGTAGCCGGCCGTGACCGGGAGACCCATGGGGCGGCGCACCATTGGCCCAGCGTCGTCCAGGGTAGGGGAGGGAATGGCCGGCAGGGACGTAGCTCAGCTAGTAGAGCATGGTGTTTGCAACGCCAGGGTTGTGGGTTTGATTCCCACGGGGGGGCCAGTATGAAAAGAAATAAAAAATAATGTATGCACTCACTAACTGTAAGTCGCTCTGGATAAGAGCGTCTGCTAAATGACTAAAATGTAAATGTAAAATGTACAGTATAGGGAGCACATCATGTTAGATGGCCTGGCTGACTGCTCCTGCCTGAGCAGAGAATAGATGACTTTAAGGAATTAAACATGATAAAGTCATCAAATAAAAACGAAATACAACATTTCAGTTGTTTATATTACTTTTTCATACCCAAAGTGGACCTGACCGAGACAATGGAATATTGTTTTGGCAATTGAATGTTCACTATTTTTGGCTTTGGAATTTCCATTAAAAAGCTCTAAAATCCCTGTCATTATTTCCTAATGCATTTAATGTAATTTTTTAAAATTCAAAATAAAAAAAACGTGATAATCTTTTAATAATCAGCCTGAAACCGAACCGACCACAAGGAGCACTAATCGGTCACTACTACAAACCAGAAAACCATGTCAAACACCAAACTATCACATAGCAAGCTAGGGAGTCTTGCCATTGTAAACGCTGGGCTATCACTTCCACAGAGCTCTGGACAGTCAGTGGTGTATGTCCCTACTGACCTTCCCTCCCTCTCCCCAGGTGGATTTGATAGACTGGGTGGACAACATGTGGCCAAGGCACCTGAAGGAGAGACAGAGAGACTCAACCAACTCTATCATAGACATGCAGTATCCCAAAGTGCAGAAGTGAGTCCTGCATCTTTAGATGGCTTTCATTCCACATTTTAAAATATATTTTTACCCCATCATAGCAATGCAGTGTTTGTGCGTGGAAGCATGAGTTAATTGAATACACCACTGTCTTTGTTTTTAATGCTGATTGATGTACGATGTAAACATTATTTTCTTTCTTTCTTTCTTTCAGATACTGTCTGATGAGTGTCCAGGGCTGCTTCACAGACTTCCACGTTGACTTTGGTGGTACGTCGGTCTGGTACCACATCCTGCGGGGGGGCAAGGTGAGACGACACCCAGGAGATCTAGAGCCTTGATGTGTCACATTTGAATCGCCACAGAATTCAATAGGACTGAATTTATCCCTGACCAAGATGGCTGCCATTATCAGCACATTCTAGAGTTATGAACATCTAGTATTCTATTGCATCTATGTCTATCCCACTCTTCACCCCTGACCTCTGATCTCCTGTAGGTGTTCTGGCTGATCCCGCCCACACCCCAGAACTTGGAGCTGTATGAGGACTGGGTGTTGTCAGGGAAACAAGGGGACATCTTCCTGGGAGACAAGGCCCAGGACTGTCAGAGGATAGAGCTGAAGCAGGGCTACACCTTCATGATCCCCTCCGGTACGTACACATACACACACACACAGTACCTTTTGTTCCCCCATCTAACCTCCACCACTGTTTATGTCTAGGTTGGATCCATGCTGTCTACACCCCTGAGGACACACTGGTGTTTGGGGGAAACTTCCTCCACAGCTTCAACATCCCCATGCAGCTCAACATCTACAACATCGAGGACCGCACACGAGTGAGTACACTACCCTACCGCACCGCAAACGCATCACACATTACTCTACTGCACACGCATCACACACGGCTGTACTGCACATGCATGAGTACTACTCAATGAGGGGGGAAACTATTACCTGTTGACTATCGGTGAGAGTAGTCACTTCCCTTCAATATCTAATGTGTTCTGCTTTCCTTGTCCCCTCTCCAGGTCCCGGCTAAGTTCAGATACCCCTTCTATTATGAGATGTGCTGGTACGTTCTGGAAAGATACCTCTACTGCCTGACCAACACCTCTCACCTCACCCCTGAGTTCCAGAAGCACTCGCTTGGTGTTGGTGAGAACACACAGACAACAATTTATATTTTTCTGTCCCTCATTGCGCACCCCTCCCCCCGCCTCTCTCGTTTTAATCCCTCTGTTTTTGTCCCTCCCTCAGGTCTGACTCGTGAAGACTCGGAGAACAAACTCAATGGCCACACGAAAAACGGCACATCGGAGGAGAAGAAAGAGGGAGACGATGATGAGGAAGAAAAGGAGGAGGAACGAGAGATGAAGGTGAAAACGGAAGAGTCTGATGAGGATGACTCCCCTGCTCCGGGTGCGAGGGTAAACCTGACCCCTCTGGAGCTGGAGGGGCTGTGGAACCTCCTGGGGAAGCTGGAGGAGCTGCCAGCCCACAAGAAGTGTGTCCCCGCAGGCATTCGCAACGCCCCTGCCCTGCTCCACGACATACGGGTGGGTACAATGCACCAGTCTAGAATATAATAATATCATATATATAACTTATGGGAGATGCTTTCATCTAAAGCCATTTACAGTAGTGTGTACATACAGTGGGGAGAACAAGTATTTGATACACTGCCGATTTTGCAGGTTTTCCTACTTACAAAGCATGTAGAGGTCTGTAATTAATCTAAAACAAAAATCCAGAAAATCACATTGTATGATTTTTTAAGTAATTAATTTGCATTTTATTGCATGACATAAGTATTTGATACATCAGAAAAGCAGAACTTAATATTTGGTACAGAAACCTTTGTTTGCAATTACAGAGATCATACGTTTCCTGTAGGTCTTAACCAGGTTTGCACACACTGCAGCAGGGATTTTGGCCCACTCCTCCATACAGACCTTCTCCAGATCCTTCAGGTTTCGGGGCTGTCGCTGGGCAATACGGACTTTCAGCTCCCTCCAAAGATGTTCTATTGGGTTCAGGTCTGGAGACTGGCTAGGCCACTCCAGGACCTTGAGATGCTTCTTACGGAGCCACTCCTTAGTTGCTCTGGCTGTGTGTTTGGGGTCGTTGTCATGCTGGAAGACCCAGCCATGACCCATCTTCAATGCTCTTACTGAGGGAAGGAGGTTGTTGGCCAAGATCTCGCGATACATGGCCCCATCCATCCTCCCCTCAATATGGTGCAGTCGTCCTGTCCCCTTTGCAGAAAAGCATCCCCAAAGAATGATGTTTCCACCTCCATGCTTCACGGTTGGGATGGTGTTCTTGGGGTTGTACTCATCCTTATTTTTCCTCCAAACACGGCGAGTGGAGTTTAGACCAAAAAGCTCAATTTTTGTCTCATCAGACCACATGACCTTCTCCCATTCCTCCTCTGGATCATCCAGATGGTCATTGGCAAACTTCAGACGGGCCTGGACATGCGCTGGCTTGAGCAGGGGGACCTTGCGTGCGCTGCAGGATTTTAATCCATGACGGCGTAGTGTGTTACTAATGGTTTTCTTTGAGACTGTGGTCCCAGCTCTCTTCAGGTCATTGACCAGGTCCTGCCGTGTAGTTCTGGGCTGATCCCTCACCTTCCTCATGATCATTGATGCCCCACAAGGTGAGATCTTGCATGGAGCCCCAGACCGAGGGTGATTGACCGTCATCTTTTCTAATAATTGCGCCAACAGTTGTTGCCTTCTCACCAAGCTGCTTGCCTATTGTCCTGTAGCCCATCCCAGCCTTGTGCAGGTCTACAATTTTATCCCTGATGTCCTTACACAGCTCTCTGGTCTTGGCCATTGTGGAGAGGTTGGAGTCTGTTTGATTGAGTGTGTGGACAGGTGTCTTTTATACAGGTAACGAGTTCAAACAGGTGCAGTTAATACAGGTAATGAGTGAAGAACAGGAGGGCTTCTTAAAGAAAAACTAACAGGTCTGTGAGAGCCGAAATTCTTACTGGTTGGTAGGTGATCAAATACTTAAAAAAATGCAAATTAATTACTTAAAAATCATACAATGTGATTTTCTGGATTTTTGTTTTAGATTCCGTCTCTCACAGTTGAAGTGTACCTATGATAAAAATTACAGACCTCTACATGCTTTGTAAGTAGGAAAACCTGCAAAATCAGCAGTGTATCAAATACTTGTTCTCCCCACTGTACAGGTAACTGCCAAAATAAAGGAAACAACATAGTTTCTTAGGCCAATTCCCACGAGTGTAAAGGGTTATGTGGATAGGGCTAAATTGAAACGTTTCTTACAGAAGAAATATGAAATGCATAAGCATGGTAGCAATTGAAGGGAATAGTTTGGGGATTATGGGAAAATTATTATACCGAAGTTGAGGACCCAACAGTTTACCAGACACAAGACTGAATCCAAACTACACTGTTGATTTTATGTGCATTTTACATTTACTGTACATTTCGTCACATTTGTTGATAACGATATCTGAAAATATTCTGGATACATTCAGTAACATAAGAATATTTCTGGAAAATGTGAGGTAAGTACAACAAGACAAAAGAAAATGACAAGGGTTTGAGTGAGAGGACTAATGGGTATTTCCAAGTGGCCACACACCTCTCCAAAATGTGCACAGTTCCTAAGTAATTTCAATGCACTTTTATGACTCAAAGAAGTGTCTTCAACTATAAGGTGCTTATTTGAGCTCTCCTAGCTGTACACTTGTAGTTGTTTTGTTTGGAACATAATCCTGCATCCCCGCCATCACACAATTAATGTTTACGCAATCCAAAAATGGCCCATTTATAAATTGCAATCTGGGTCAGGTGGGCATCATTTGAAACCTTTTTCTCCCCAATTCCTTGATATCCAATTGCGATCCAATTACGATCTTGTCTCATCGCTGCAACTCCCCAACGGGCTCGGGAGAGGCGAAGGTCGAGTCATATGTCCCCCGAAACATGACCCGTCAAACCGCGCTACTTAACACCTGCCCGCTTAACCCGGAAGCCAGCTGCACCAATGTGTCAGAGGAAACACCGTTCAACTGACGACCGAAGTCAGCCGACTCCTTGTGACAAATACAATTTGATTTGATTTGCAGGCGCCCGGCCCGCCACAAGGAGTCGCTAGAGTGCAATGAGCCAAGTAAAGTCCACCCCACCCCCCGGCCAAACCCTCCCCTAACCCGGACGACGCTGGGCCAGTTGTGCGCAGCCTGGGATTGAACCCGGGTCTGTAGTGACGCCTCAAGCACATTGAAAGCTTTTTCAATTGCCAACATGACTTGCCGAGTTATAAAGTACGATCTTAGTGTTAGGCTTTCAGAAGGCAATTCTGAGAAACAGGTCGTAATTTTGATGCGCATTGAAAGGAGTCATGAGTGCATTCAGGTGCGTGTTCCGCTGCAAGTTTTCTTCACAATAGACAGTCTCAATCTGTTCAGAACAACCCAGGATATGACGCCATGTCATCTTGTAGCTATACATCAAACATAGTGATCCTAAACGTTGACATGAGTTTTATGATATGGTACTTGTGAAGTGCACATTTGGACTCATGGGTGTTTGGCTTGCTGATATGATTAATATAATCCTCAACGTCTCATCTTTCAAAGTACATCGAGCCCTTTTAATTTACAGCATTTCCCTCACTCAGACCATTTTTTGTGTGCAAAAGTTGCCCAATTAGCGGGAGGGATGGGGGCAACTTCTTGTTGCGTGCGGTGCCCAAGTTCAGGACGGTTGTCAGACAAAACCCATACAGCGCTGTGAAGCACAGAGCCTGAGCTCTGACGTCATTTATAGCATGTTACTGTACAGCCACTGTGTGCCAATTTAGGCGCTTATCAGTGCCCAAATCTGCCATTTTCAACCCGTATGGGTATGAGGGTTAATAGGGTGTTGGGCCACCACAATCTGCCAGAACAGCTTCAGTGCACCTAGGCATAGATTCTACAAGTGTCTGGAACTGTATTGGAGGGATGCGACACCATTCTTCCACGAGAAATTCCAAAGTTTGATGTTTTGTTGATGGTGGTGGAAAACGCTATCTTAGGCACCACTCCAGACACACACACACCCCTTAAACCCCCTATGCTCCTTTGAGACCATTCTTTCAAGTCACTGAGATCTCTTCTAGCCATGGTAGCCAAAATAATGTGCAACTGGGCATTTTTATACATGACCCTAAGCATGATGGTATGTTATTTTATTCATTAACTCAGGAACCACACCTGTGTGGAAGCACCTGCTTTCAATATACTTTGTATCCCTCATTTAGTCAAGTGTTTCCTTTATTTTGGCAGTTACAGTGCCTTCAGAAAATATTCACACCCCTTGACTTTTTCCAAATTGTGTTGTGTTACAGCCTGAATCTAAAATTGATTAAGTTTAGATTTTTTTCATCACTGGCCTACACACAATACTCCATAATGTCAAAGTGGAATTATGTTTTTAGAAATATTTACTAATTAATTAAAAATGAAAAGCTGAAATGTCTTGAGTCAATAAGTATTCAACCCCTTTGTTATGGCAAGACTAAATACGTTCAGGAGTAAAAATGTGCTTAACAAGTCCCATAATAAGTTGCATGGACTCACTCTGTGTGCAATAATAGTGTTAAACATGATTTGAATGACTACCTCATCTCTGTACTCCACACATACAATTATCTGTAAGGTCCCTCAGTCGAGCAGTGAATTTCAAACACACCAGGGAGGTTTTTCAATGCCTCGCAAAGAAGGGCACCTATTGGTAGATGGGTGAAAAGAAAAGAAGCAGACATTGAATATCCATTTGAGCATGGTAAAGTTATTAATTACACTTTGGATGGTGTTGAATGTTCAAAATCATAGGGTAAGAGCACATTTAAGGATAAGGTGATCAAAGGATAAGATGATCAAACTTTGAAAATAAGTCATTAGCTGTTTAGCTTTCTAGCACATTCACTAATTTGTTTGTAAACAATTAACAAGCCAGTTATCTACCTCCATGTTCTTGTTAAACTGTCAACAGAGTAGCTAGCAAGCAACAAGATTTTTATTTATTAATTTTATTTATTTATTTAACCTTTATTTAACTAGGCAAGTCAGTTAAGAACAAATTGTTATTTACAATGACGGCCTACACCGGCCAAACCCGGATGACGCTGGGCCAATTGTGCGCCGCCCTATGGGACTCCCAATCACGGCCGGTTGTGATACAGCCTGGAATCGAACCAGGGGGTCTGTAGTGACGCCTCAAGCACTGAGATGCAGTGCCTTAGACCACTGCGCCACTCGGGAGCCAAATAACAGTCTAAAAACCACAAATCAGATTTGACCATTGAGACAAGTCACATGGCCAGGAATCAGATATAAAATCAGCAAAAAAAGAAACGTCCTCTCACTGTCAACTGCGTTTATTTTCAGCAAACTTGACATGTAAATATTTGTGTGAACATAACAAGATTCAACAACTGAGACATAAACTGAACAAGTTCCACAGACATGTGACTAACAGAAATGTAATAATGTGTCCCTGAACAAAGGGGGGGTCAAAATCAAAAGTAACAGTCAGTATATTGTGTGGCCACCAGCTGCATTAAGTACTGCAGTGCATCTCCTCCTCATGGACTGCACCAGATTTGCCAGTTCTTGCTGTGAGATGTTACCCCACTCTTCCACCAAGGCACCTGCAAGTTCCCGGACATTTCTGGGGGAATGTCCCTAGCCCTCACCCTCCGATCCAACAGGTCCCAGACGTGCTCAATTGGATTGAGATCCGGGCTCTTCGCTGGCCATGGCAGAACACAGACATTCCTGTCTTGCAGGAAATAACGCACAGAACGAGTAGTATGGCTGGTGGCATTGTCATGCTGGAGGGTCATGTCAGGATGAGCCTGCAGGAAGGGTACCACATGAGGGAGGAGGATGTCTTCCCTGTAACGCACAGCGTTGAGATTGCCTGCAATGACAACAAGCTCAGTCCGATGATGCTGAGACACACCGCCCCAGACCATGACGGACCCTCCACCTCCAAATCGATCCCGCTCAAGAGTACAGGCCTTGGTGTAACGCTCATTCCTTCGAAGATAAACGCGAATCCGACCATCACCCCTGGTGAGACAAAACTGTGACTTGTCAGTGAAGAGCACTTTTTGCCAGTCCTGTCTGGTCCAGCGACGGTGGGTTTGTGCCCATAGGCGACGTTGTTGCCGGTGATGTCTGGTGAGGACCTGCCTTACAACAGGCCTACAAGCCCTCAGTCCAGCCTCTCTCAGCCTATTGCGGACAGTCTGAGCACTGATGGAGGGATTGTGCGTTCCTGGTGTAACTCGGGCAGTTGTTGTTGCCATCCTGTACCTGTCCTGCAGGTGTGATGTTCGGATGTACCGATCCTGTGCAGGTGGTCTGCCACTGCGAGGACGATCAGCTGTCTGTCCTGTCTCCCTGTAGCGCTGTCATAGACGTCTCACAGTACGGACATTGCAATTTATTGCCCTGGCCACATCTGCAGTCCTCATGCCTCCTTGCAGCATGCCTAAGGCACGTTCACGTAGATGAGCAGGGACCCAGGGCATCTTTCTTTTGGTGTTTTTCAGAGTCAGTAGAAAGGCCTCTTTAGTGTCCTAAGTTTTCAAAACTGTGACCTTAATTGCCTACCGTCTGTAAGCTGTTAGTGTCTTAATGACCGTTCCACAGGTGCATGTTCATTAATTGTTTATGGTTCATTGAACAAGCATGGGAAACAGTGTTTAAACCCTTTACAATGAAGATCTGTGAAGTTATTTGGATTTTTACAAATTATCTTTGAAAGACAGGGTCCTGAAAAGGGGACATTTCTTTTTTTGCTGAGTTTATATTTACAAAAATTATGTGGCTTGAAATATCTGATTCCACTTGCTTTTTGACTGTTCAGACTGCAGGAAAAACAACAGATTCTAATGGGATATGCAGATAAATAGGATTTGAGTCACTTCGACCTGCCAATGTGAACACGGCTTTAGAGACTTACCCAGAAAGACTAACAGCTGTAATCGCTGCCAAAGGTCATTCTAACATGTATTGACTCAGGGAGTTGAATACTAATCTAATCAAGATATATTAGTGTTTTAGTGGGATGGTGGCAACTTCTTGTTGCGTGCGGTGCCCAAGTTCAGAACGGTTGTCAGTCAAAACCAATACAGCGCTGTGAAGCGCAGAGCCTAAGCTCTGACTTAATTTATTAGTGCCCAAATCTGCCATTTTCATTCTAACATGTATTGACTCTGGCGGTTGAATACTTACCTAATCAAGATATATTAGTGTTTTTATTTTATTTTTTATGTTAGAATTTTTCTTCCACTTTCACATTAGAGTATTTTGTGTAGATCGTTGACAATTAAACCCATTTTAATCCCACTTTGTAACACAACAACATTTGGAAAAAGTCAAAGGATGTGAATACTTTCTGAAGGCACTGTACAAGTACATTGTATGGGTGGTCCCAGCAGGAATCAAGCCCACGATCCTGACATTGCAAGGGCGACATGCTCAACCAACTGAGCTTACACAGGGACCAGTCTATTGCTACGTTTTAATATCCACACAGCATACAACTTCCAGTGCATGACCAATACATTGCTTCATTCTAAGTGGTATGCTACTGTGAATATTGGAACAGTGTCTTATCAGTATCTGTCTGTATCCATCTGTAAGTATTTCAATCAATAGCCTTGACATGACTTGACATGGCTTGTGTCCTGTTTAGGCTCTTCTGGAAGAACACTGCAATGACGACCCCAAGCTGTCTTACACTGGAAAGCCCATCGTCAAGTGGCCCAAGAGGGTGAGCCAGAGAGCACGTGCCTCTCATAAACACATTCAAACACCCACCAAACATGCAAGCGTGCATACATTTAGTCACCACGGTCAAGCCCTCAACAACAAAGGGGCAGACGTCTAACTTTCCTCTCTTCCTCTCCCACCTTCCCTGGCCAGCCCTCGTGGTACCAGCCCCCTTCCCCTCCCCCCTCGGTGGTGTACCGTCCTCGCCTCGCCATGCCCCACAGGCCCATGGTCCCGCGCCCCGCCAAGCCTGCCTCCTCTATCTCGGCTCTGAGACGGCGGCGCGTGCGCTGCAAACACTGTGCAGCCTGCCAGAGGAAGGAGTGTGGCGAATGCAACTTCTGCAAAGACATGAGGAGGTTCGGAGGACCCGGGCGCATGAAGAAGGGCTGCATGATGCGCCAGTGTCTCGCTGTGAGTAGCCAGTGCACTGCCTTCACACCCTGTGTGTGTGTATGAGGTGTGTGAGTATAGTATGTTGACCCTTGTCTCTCCCTGTCTCCAGCCTGGCCTGCCTAACTCAGCAGTGTGTGCTCTGTGTGGAGAGGGCCAGGGGAAGCAGGAGTTTGCAGACGCAAGCCCCTCCTCCACAACCCTCATGGAATGCTCCAACTGTGCTCAGATCGCCCACCCCGACTGCATCAAGGTGACCAGACCTCACGAGGGGTCCCAAAGTCAAACGGCCCTTAAGGATGATAGCGGTGTTATAGGTGTTCATAACAGTCCTCTGTGTGTATGTCAGGTGTTATAACTGTTCATTCTTCTCCCTCAGGTGCCTGGGGAGGGCAGGATCAACAAGGACCTGCCCAGCTGCTGGGAGTGTCCCAAATGTTACCAGGGCAAAGTAGGCTCCTCATCAGAGGTACCCCATCATTTCTCTCTCCCTCTCCCTCTCTCTCTCTCTCTCACTCCCTCCAATGGGCTTTATTGGCATGGGAAACATATGTTTACATTGCCAAAGCAAGTGAAATAAACTATCAAAAAGGAATAGAGACATTTCAAATGTCCGATTATGGCTATGTATAGTCTTATAACGATGTGCAAATAGTTCAAGTACAAAAGGGGAAATAAATATGGGTTGTATTTACAATGGTGTTAGTTCTTCACTGGTTGCCCTTTTCTTGTGGCAGCAGGTCACACATCTTGCTGCTTTGATGCACACTGTGGTTTTTCACCCAATAGATATGGGAGTTTATCAAAATTGGATTTGTTTTGAAATTCTTTGCGGGTCTGTGTAATCTGAGGGAAATATGTATCTCTAATATGGTCATACATTTGGCAGGAGGTTAGGAAGTGCAGCTCAGTTTCCACCTCATTTTGTGGGCAGTGTGCACATAGCCTGTCTTCTCTTGAGAGCCAGGTCTGCCAAGCAAGGCTATGTTCACTGAGTCTGTACATAGTCAAAGCTTTCCTTAATTTTGGTTCAGTCACAGTGGTCTGGTATTCTGCCGCTGTGTACTCTCTGTTTAGGGCCAAATAGTCCAGTTTGCTCTGTTTTTTTGGGGTTAATTCTTTCCAATGTGTCAAGTAATTATCTTTTTGTTTTCTCATGATTTAGTTGGGTCTAATTGTGTTGCTGTCCTGGGGCTCTGTGGGGTCTGTTTGTGTTTGTGAACAAAGCCCCAGGACAAACTTGCTTAGGGGACTCTTCTCCAGGTTCATCTCTCTGTAGGTGATGGCTTTGTTATGGAATGTTTGAGAATCACTTCCTTTTAGGTGGTTGTAGAATTTAACAGTTTTTTTTCTGGATTTTGATCATTAGCAAGTATCGTTCTAATTCTGCTCTGCATGCATTATTTGGTGTTTTACGTTGTACACGGTGGATGTTTTTGCAGAATTCTGCATGCGCTCTCAATTTGGCGTTTATCCCATATGTGAATTCTTGGTTGGTGAGCGGACCCCAGACCTCACAACCATAAAGGGCAATGGGTTCTATAACTGATTCAAGTATTTTTAGCCAGATCCTAATTAGGATGTTGAATTGTATGTTCCCTTTGATGGCATAGAAGGCCCTTCTTGCCGTGTGTGTGTGTGTGTGTGTGTCTCTCTCTCTCTCTCTCGCTCTGTCTATTCCTCTGTCCCTGTAAGACAATACCCACCTACTCCATTAATACCTGTTTTGTGACGTTGCCCCTCTAACACTCTCCCTCTCTGTCTCAGTCGTCCAGCAGTGATGAGGACAGCATGGTGTCTACAGGTTCTCTCTCTACGTCGAGGCCGTCAAAGCATGCCCACCGGGAAGGGATAGGAGTAGGGGATGCAGGAGGTGGGGTGAGGAAGGGGCGACGTGGCAGACCCCCCCTGACGTCCTCTCTGTCCCAGCGGAGAGCGCCCCCTCCCTCTCAGCGGCTGCTACTGCAGCAACAACAGAACAGGAAGAGAGCTGGAGCACTGGAGCTAAGACTCCGGAAGAGGGTGAGAGAGGGAGGGAGAGAGAGAAAGAGGGGGGGGGGCTAAAGTTTTTTGGGATTCGTACAATAACTTTTCACCAAGTCATCTCATTTTAAATCTCTCTCTTTGTGTTGCAGATCAAACTGGAGCGCAGCAAAATCTTACAATCAGTAAGCACATATTTTAAAGCACCGTATCTCTCTAAACCAGTGCATGATTATTCAAACCAAAGCATTGTTTGACCTATTCTACTCCTCCTCTCCTCTCTACAGAAGCAGACGTCGTCTCTGGAGTGTTCTCCCAAGCTCCTGGGCTCCCAGGGTCTGGGCCACCTCCAGAGAGGGTTGTCCTCTCGCCTTCACTCCCCTGTCGGCAGACTGTCCCGGGGCCGTGGGTCCTTCAGAGGCTCCCACTACCGCTCCCCTACAAGGGCACGACTACAGCCCCCCCAACCCTCCCTCAGCCTGGCCCCCGCAGGCAGGGGAGAGGGGCGCAGGGGGCGAGGCGTACGGCTCAGAGGAGGAGCAGCAGGGAGAGGAAGAGGAGGACAGAGACACGGCGGAGCAGAGGAAGAGAGTGATAGCAGCAGTAGCAGTAGCAGCAGCAGCAGCAGTAGTAGTAGTAGTAGTGATGAGGAGGAGGAGGAGGAGGAGGAGGAGAGGGAGAACGGCGTGCGGGGTGGCAGACGGGACAAAGAAAACCGGCCACAGAGACAAGGAAGAGGAGCAGCCAAAGAAGAAGAAAAGGAAGAGAGTGGGCAGTCCAACCAAAATGGAGAAGAAGAGGAGGAGATGGATGAAGACGGGAGGGATGGAGGACAGGCACAGGCGGCGCCACCGGTCCTCGTAGTGTCGGACCTTAGCGACGACCTCATGAAGGGCTCGTATCTCACGGTGACCCTACAGCCGTCGAGGGCCAAACGTGATCCAGGGGCCATCGTCCCCAAACTGGAGGCTGCAGTCACCCCTCGCCCTGCCCCTCCCGGCCAGAGTTGCATGCAACGCAAGAATCTGGCCCGACCACCCCTCAGGAACCACGCCCCAGACCCTGCACCCTCACACTCAGACAGACACACACACATCCGGGGAAGCAACACACACACACGCGGCTCCCATCCAGACGAGAGGAGAACGAGGCCGGGCAGACCAGAGAGAACAAACAACGGAGCTTCCTCCTCCCGTGTTCCCCCTCTACGCCTCCCTCTGTCGGCTTTACAGGATGGGGGGAGCGAGGCAGGTGGGGAGAGGGAGGTGGCGAATGGAGGGAGCGAGCCGGGCTGTGAGAGAGAAGTGTGGGTATCAGTCTTCCGTTACCTGACTCGTGCCGAGCTCTGTGTCTGCATGGCTGTCTGCAAGAACTGGTACAAATGGTAAGAGACAAACATTTAAGAATGCATTTTATACACACATACACATAGCAGTATTCCATAAGAGCTGTGCTAACTATTCATGTGTCTGCATGTGCAAGAGTGTATAGGAGCTTGATAAAAAAAAAATGGTGTGTTCTTGTGCAGGAGCTTGGATAAGAGGCTGTGGATGCGGATCAATCTGAGCGTGTCTAAAGCGATCAGTCCTCAGGCCCTGTCGGGCATCATCAAACGCCAGCCAGTCACCCTGGAACTCTCATGGACCTCCATCTCCAAGAAACAACTCACGTGGCTCATCAACCGCCTGCCAGGTACACACTCACACACACACACACACACAGACATGCCCACTTGAACTATTACTCACTTTGGAGATGTAATTATCTCTCTCTCCGGCTCAGGGCTGAAGGATCTCATGTTGTCTGGGTGCTCCTGGTCTTCTATTTCGGCTCTGAGCTCGACCAGTTGCCCCCTCCTGCGCACACTGGACCTGCGGTGGGCCGACGGGGTCAAAGATGGACAGATCCGGGACCTGCTCAACCCCCCAGGTGAGAGCCCCCCCCTTCCTCCACCGTTTTCTGTTTTAAATTAAGTACTGTTCGGATAAATCCCTTGTCATACCACATTAATTAGCTATGTCCCGCTGGAGTCAGCAGTGGACACAGATATTCTCTCATTCTCAATCCTTCTTTCCCTCTCCCTCCTCTTCTTTCTCTCCCTCCTCTTTTCTCTCTTCCACTGCCGCCCTCCTGTCACATCTCTTTCTACCCCTCTTTCTCCTCCTCCTCTCCCTCCCTCTTTCTGCCCTAATCCCGTCCCCCTCTCCTCTCTCTGTCTCTCTAGGTTGTGATAACCGCAGTCAGCTAAGGAACATGCAGTCTTTCCGTCTGGCGGGGCTGGAGATCAGTGACTCTACTCTGAGGCTGGTGATCAGACACATGCCCCTGCTGACCCGTCTGGACCTGTCCCACTGTGGAGGCCTCACTGACCAGTCCATCAACCTGCTCACTGCCGTGGGCTCCTCCACACGCAACACACTCACTGAGCTCAACCTGGGGGGTAAGACTTGGACTCACACAGACACAGCGGAGAGTGGGAGCAGCACACAGACAGGATTGTGACTTGTACTTGATATTGAGTTGTAGTTGGTATTGAGCCCCACTGTCTCTATCTCCCAGGCTGCAGTAAGCTGACAGACACGTGTCTGCAGTACCTCCGCCGGCTCTCCTGCCTCTCCCTGCTGGACCTGCGGGAATGCAAGGGTGTCTCCCGTAAAGCCTGCGAGGCCTTCATCTCTGAGCTGTCCGTCAACACCCTCTACTGCCTATCAGAGGACAAACTGATCCAGAGGATATCCTAGAGCCTGCCTCCTCTGTCTGGGACAGGGGGTACAGGGAGAAGTTGGGGACATCTCTGTGTGACAGAGAAAAGACTGTAGAAGGACAGGGAGGCTTAAAAGCACCTGCACTCTCTGAAGGGAGCGGGAATGGAGCGCGATTAGTTACTACACACTTAGTGGGAGCAGGGTTTCTTTCCATGTTGTATACATTTCTTTTTTTGACTAAACCAGACAAGAGACTCAGGAGTTTGGGTTCAGGCGCCTACGCTGCGTGATGAAAGTGGAGGGGGAGGTCGGGGGTTCCTGTGAGGGTGGCACTATGGGTGTGGCGGTCATCCCAGACAGGGTTCTCTCCTTACCCTGGGGGTTCTAAGTGCTTTATGACAAGGCCATCTATACCCAAAGGTGTGGGCTGTGGACTAACTCTTCCAGGAGTACTGTGGTCAGGTAGCCCCATCCTGAGACAGAGGGGCGCCTATGAGGGATTCAGGGACGGTGCGAGAGGGCAATCGACATGGTGACGAGACCACTCCAAAATAAGGGTGGGGTATGAATGAAAGGGAGTAGAAGGGGGTGACAGGGTAAATGGTGCGATCTCAAACAACCGTTAGAATTCAGGTGCTATCACTCCCAAAACTCACCCTGTTTTGTACAAATATGAATCTAGGACAACCGTCTCTATTCTAGAAAATACCCTCACCCCACTTTGATGCATTTTCTGTTTCCCATGGATAAAATGTGAGTTCCTTTCAGTTTCTTTTTACTTGTTACGATTCAGTGTATAAATGTATGATTTGCTGTCATTATTCTGTCCTGTTACCATTTGGTCTACTGCTTCTAATGGATGCTTATTTCTTTCCCACACCACTCCCTCCCTGCCAAATCTAAAAGAATATAAATATATACTTTTGTCTAAATGTTTCCCTCTTTTAGAAGATGAAGAAAAAATCCTGTAGCATTGTAATTATTTTCAGAAACCTTTTTCACTTATGTTTTTGTGTTTTTTCAAGAAAATTAAAAATTAAAGATCAACTGTGCCAGATGTAAGTGATTTTTGGCTGATATTAGAGAACAGGGCCACAAATGTGCAGACTGCAGAACCTAATTTCACAATGGGTTAATTGATGAAGAGTACCTGAGTAATATGGTACTTAGCTACTTGTCTTTGCCCAGTGTGTTTCAAATCTGGTCCTGTGGATCTACAGGGGTTGCCAGCTTTTGTTCCAATGTCAGGCGATTTGGTGAATTGGGTGTGCTGGGCTGGAACAAAAGCCTGGGGCCCCAGGACCTGAATTGAAGCCTGCATGCATGTAATCCCTACTTTTTATTCGGTTAAAAGAGGCCATTGTCATCAGCTGGAGATTTTCTCAGCATTGCCCCACCACAACTCTACTTGGCAGCTGTTGTGAAAGTGGATAGTGCAGTTGTGTACCCTTCGATTGTATGGCAACATGCATCACGCCCTTCCCTCCTCCAACTGCTAGCCATAACCTGGAACTAAAGCGACGCTGAAAATTACGTGAAAAATAAATAAATAATGCAAACTGGGGTGTGCATTTTGTCGCAGATGCTGCAGTCTGTTTTTGTTAAGAATACTGGACTGTGTTTGTAATAGGGGTTTGTTCCCTGAAAGATTGCGATTGGAATATGAACACCGACAAGACATAGACAGCATCGCTATCATCGAGTGACCTGGATGTGAAATCCAAATAGGCCGTATATTGGTCTATTATTTTGACAGCACAGGATCAGAGAAGAGAAAAAAAAACATCGCGAAAGCGAGAGGGTGATGATAGGAGTTGCTAGTTAGCTAACTAACACATCATCAGGACTTGATTCCATCGTGTGTTACAATCGGCATTGCGAGACTAATGGTGGACATAGTCAGGCGTGCAATGTTAGCCAGTCAGCTAGCTAGCTAACCAGCAGGCTGGAATGGAAAATAAGTACTGTCATATGATTTTAGCCAGTTAGCTAGCTAACCTGGCTAATGGGTAGAAGAGAGCTAGCTAGCCATGTATTTCAATCGGTACATACTCATAGTTTCTTGCTAATTACGTTAGCTTCTTTGCTAGTTACCCGTTTTATCCCGTAGAATATTGCTAGTTTGCGGTTTTTTTGTGCACGCGTACTCCCACGTTTCTTATTGATGGAAATAACCATTTTGCTGCTGTTGTGACGTGAAACTCTGAAAGCTGGCTAGCAAGTTGCTAGGTAACATAATTAGCTTGATAGATAAACAATGGCTCAAGAGGCGTTTCCTTTACATTTTCTGGTTTGGAACAACCAATACCTTGAGCTTGAACGGGAACTACAGAAAAACGAGGTAGGTCAACCGGGGGTAGCAACATCAGTTTCTCTTTTTCAACCATTCATGTTTTGAGTTTAACAGCTGCGCTGCCGCACCGTTCTGAGAGGCGTGCCCCAGCTTTCATGACCCACCAGGGCTGTTTTTCCACAGGAGAATGTGGAGCGCTTGGACCCGCGGGGGCGCACCCCGCTAGAGCTGGCGGTGTGTCTAGGCCACCTGGAATCAACCCGTGTGCTGCTCAGACACTGCGCAGACCCGACGCACTGCAACGCGCAGAGCTGGACTAGTGAGTGTATAAACTGGGGAATGACTGGGAAGAATAGTGTACTCCAAAAACAAAGCAGGGCCAATATATTGCTGTCAGTTTGTTGAAGGATAGCTATGAGGGTTAATATCGTGTGTCTATGGGGTCGTTCCATTTGAATTTAATCACTTTTTGACCGCACACCTTTTGGTTTGAACGAAACTTTCCGTACATATTTGCCCATGGTAGAAGTGGTCAGAAAGCGACTTTTTGGACCAGAATGCCAAAACATTCAGGAGATAAAGATGCTCAAAGGGAGTTTAGCCGCCCTACACTCCTTGAAGTATATGGTACCACAAAGATCGTTGGAGGTCCACACATCAGATAATGTTGACTTGAATGACAATATTAGTTGTTTTAAATTATACTCTGTCTTCCATAGGATACCTATTGAAATATAGATAATAGAATAGACATTCTCATTTAAGATGACATTCGACTGTAGGTGGACCAGCAGCCATCTTTGTGTAAGTAATTGGAAGTTAAAACGTCAATTCAATTAACATTTTAATGGTGTACCAGCTACATTGCAGTGGTCTGAAGGGATAGGTCCATTCTATGAGTTCTATTTCTATGACTGAAATGACACCCACCTTGTATTCAAGTGCATGCACTGTCTTAACCGATGACAGGCACAACACAAACACCACAGATTATGTCAATGAGGATCTAAGTAGCCTCACCATAAACCAGGCTGCCCTAAATGTGAAGCCTGGGGAAGTCCATGGTAGAAAATTAGCTAAATATGGGTGGGAACCCGCTGTAAATCAGTGACGCCTTTCAACACCTCAAACCAATCAAATGCCTTGCTTGGGTGGAGCTGGTGTGAGGAGCTATAGGAGGATGGTCTCATTAATGGTTGGAATGGAATTCATGGAACGGAGTCAAACGTGGTTTCCATGTGTTTGATACCATTCCATTCCAGCCATTACAATGAGCCTGTCCTCCTATAGCTCATCCCACCAGCCTCCACTGGTGTAGTATCTGTGACAGTGCATGATGATGACTGGGAAATCGCTTATTTTAAAACCTATTCAAAATATGTCGATTTATGCCGATTTTGTGTATAGAGCACACTTCTGGCAAAACATAATTAATTTTTTCCTCCAGGTTTTCTTCCATTTTCTGCAATGTTGCAATCTAGCATATGGAACAACTCTGCAAAATGTGCCCTACCAGGTCTGAAAAAAGTGACGAACACGTAGCACCAACGGGCATGTGCGGGAGGGTTGTTGAAATGTAACATCCAATGAAAATCAGCGGTCCATTCAAACCGTTTTGGCCAATACAAAATTCTCCAGAACTCCAAGGGAGGCGTGACAACGACCTGATTTTGGAGGTATGGGTACTTGAATCTAGGGTCTAAGCTACAACATATGCGAAAATGAAAAAAATCAGAGTTCACCTGTTTTATAAAAAAAAAGCTTTTCAAGAAATTATAAAATAGTTTGACAACCCTGTTTGTAACATTTTCAATGACATTGTGGGGTAGGCAAAATGGGTCAACATTGAGCACCTCTCGCTCCTGAATATTTTTGCATTTAGGTACAAAAAGTTACTTTCCGACCACTTCTACCATGGCTAAGTATGTATGGAACATTTTGTTCAAATCAAAAGGGGTGCGGTCAAAAAGTGATTGAAATCAAATTGAATGACCCTACGTCCAGTTTTGCAGGAGGCAGTGAGCACAGGGGACCCCGAGCTTTGTCAGCTGGTGCTGCAGTACAGAGACTTCAAGCGAGCCACAGAGAGACTGGCTGGCATCCCAGAACTGCTCAGCAAGCTAAGACAGGTAAGACAGGTAGCCTAGCGGTTAATCGTGTTGGGCCAGTAACCGAAAGTTCGGTGGTTCGAATATCCGAGCCGACTAGGGGAAAAATCTGTCGGTGCCCTTGAGCAAGGCAACCCTAGTTGCTCCTGTAAGTCACTCTGGATAAAAGCGTCTGCTAAATAACTAAAATGTAAATGTAACACTTTGCAGTCCTCGCTTCATCCACATACAGTGGGGAAAAAAAGTATTTAGTCAGCCACCAATTGTGCAAGTTCTCCCACTTAAAAAGATGAGAGGCCTGTAATTTATCATAGGTACACGTCAACTATGACAGACAAAATGAGAAAAAAAAATCCGGAAAATCACATTGTAGGATTTTTAATGAATTTATTTGCAAATTATGGTGGAAAATAAGTATTTGGTCAATAATAAAAGTTTCTCAATACTTTGTTATATACCCTTTGTTGGCAATGACACAGGTCAAACGTTTTCTGTAAGTCTTCACAAGGTTTTCACACACTGTTGCTGGTATTTTGGCCCATTCCTCCATGCAGATCTCCTCTAGAGCAGTGATGTTTTGGGGCTGTCGCTGGGCAACACGGACTTTCAACTCCCTCCAAAGATTTTCTATGGGGTTGAGATCTGGAGACTGGCTAGGCCACTCCAGGACCTTGAAATGCTTCTTACGAAGCCACTCCTTCGTTGCCCGGGCGGTGTGTTTGGGATCATTGTCATGCTGAAAGACCCAGCCACGTTTCATCTTCAATGCCCTTGCTGATGGAAGGAGGTTTTCACTCAAAATCTCACGATACATGGCCCCATTCATTCTTTCCTTTACACGGATCAGTCGTCCTGGTCCCTTTGCAGAAAAACAGCCCCAAAGCATGATGTTTCCACCCCCATGCTTCACAGTAGGTATGGTGTTCTTTGGATGCAACTCAGCATTCTTTGTCCTCCAAACACGACGAGTTGAGTTTTTACCAAAAAGTTATATTTTGGTTTCATCTGACCATATGACATTCTCCCAATCCTCTTCTGGATAATCCAAATGCACTCTAGAAAACTTCAGACGGGCCTGGACATGTACTGGCTTAAGCAGGGGGACACGTCTCGCACTGCAGGATTTGAGTCCCTGGCGGCGTAGTGTGTTACTGATGGTAGGCTTTGTTACTTTGGTCCCAGCTCTCTGCAGGTCATTCACTAGGTCCCCCCGTGTGGTTCTGGGATTTTTGCTCACCGTTCTTGTGATCATTTTGACCCCACGGGGTGAGATCTTGTGTGGCGCCCCAGATCAAGGGAGATTATCAGTGGTCTTGTATGTCTTCCATTTCCTAATAATTGCTCCCACAGTTGATTTCTTCAAACCAAGCTGCTTACCTATTGCAGATTCAGTCTTCCCAGCCTGGTGCAGGTCTACAATTTTGTTTCTGGTGTCCTTTGACAGCTCTTTGGTCTTGGCCATAGTGGAGTTTGGAGTGTGACTGTTTGAGGTTGTGGACAGGTGTCTTTTATACTGATAACAAGTTCAAACAGGTGCCATTAATACAGGTAACGAGTGGAGGACAGAGGAGCCTCTTAAAGAAGAAGTTACAGGTCTGTGAGAGCCAGAAATCTTGCTTGTTTGTAGGTGACCAAATACTTATTTTCCACCATAATTTGCAAACAAATTCATTAAAAATCCTACAATGTGATTTTCTGGAGAAAAAAAATCTCAATTTGTCTGTCATAGTTGACGTGTACCTATGATGAAAATTACAGGCCCCTCTCATATTTTTAAGTGGGAGAACTTGCACAATTGGTGGCTGACTAAATACTTTTTCCCCCTACTGTATAACACACACAGGTAACACGCATGTCAATCAAATACACCAGTGCACAGATATCTGAAACACACTGTCACCTCTTTCAGGCCCGGGATTTTTACGTGGAGATGAAATGGGAGTTCACTAGTTGGGGTGAGTTTCTGATGTTCTCACAGTGGTTGGTTTCATCAGCACACAGATAGCTCCCAATTCTACTGTCACTGTGATGCACAGTGGTATTAATGCCACACATGTTGTGTCCCTCTCGCCCCCTCTATCTCCCCCTCCCTTCCTCTTGCAGTGCCCCTGGTCTCCAAGGTGTGTCCCAGTGATGTGTACCGTGTGTGGAAGAGTGGCTCGTGTCTCCGGGTGGACACCACTCTACTGGGCTTCGAGCACATGACCTGGCTCAAGGGCCGTCGCAGCTACATCTTTAAGGGCGAAGGTATGACACTGGTGATATGGCTAGCTATTCCACGCTGCGTTTCATCTGTCGTATTTCTGTTTTTACTAGCGCGAGAATTGGGATGTGTGGTAACCTCATGGTGGTTTGTGTTGTTTCCATAGAGACCGGCTGAATGGTGATAAGTGTGTTGTTTCCATAGAGAATGGTGCCGTGGTGATGGAGGTGGACCATGACAAGCAGGTGGTGTACACGGAGCCTCTGTCTCTCTCCCCGCGGGACGCCCCATCTCTCCTGGCTGCCATGCTGCCCACCCAGGAGAACACCGCCCAGAGACTTACCTCCCCCATCGTCTCCACACACCTCAACACACGCAACATCGCCTTCGAGAGGTAACACACACACACACATCATCTCAACATCGCCTTCAAGAGGTAACTACTTCATACATACACACACACACACGGACATACAGCCAACATACTCACCTACCTGGTCTCGCTGCTTATGCTTGCCTCCGGCTGTTTGCTGCACAGGAACAAGTCTGGCATTTGGGGCTGGCGCTCTGAGAAGAGTGAGGCAGTCAGTGGCTACGAAGCAAAGGTGAGCCAGAGACCCCATTGGACTTTAAAAATGCTTCTAATAGAAAGTGTTTGTTGGCATTTAAAAGCATTTTTTCATTGTTTTACTGAATCAAGTTTTTCCTTTGGTTTGTTTCAGGTATACAGTGCCACTAATGTGGAGCTGGTGACTCGATCAAGAACAGAGCACCTGTCGGACCAGGACAAGTCAAAGAGCAAAGGTACACACACACAAACACGCGCGCACACACACAGATACAGAACACTCTCATGTTTAATTTGTTCATAGTATACATACACCCACAGTATGGTTATATCCCTCCTGTCTTCCCAGGCACCAAGACTCCTCTTCAGTCCTTCCTGGGGATAGCTGAGCAGCATACCGCTCATAATGGGGTGAGTTTCATGAAGACACACACCTCTACCTCCTATTGTATGTGGTGGATAGATGCTTTGATGGACTGATGGATGTGCTCATTGATGTCTCTCCCCATGTCTCTCAGAGTAATGTTTCTCAGTGTGCCAGCCCCCATAACCCCACGGCCATCACAGCTGAGGAATACTTTGACCCAGAGTTCCAACTAAACGAACGAGACATCGGACGCCCCGTGGAGCTCACCAGCAAAGTCCAGAGGTACCACTGTTGCCATGGCAACGGAGAACCAGGCTCGCCATAGCAACGCACCGTCAAGCTCGGAGAAGCACAATATCACCACCATGTTTAATGCAAGTGTCTCTATTCTCTCTCTCTCTAGGTTTAAGGCCCATCTGTGGTTGAGTGAGGCTCACCCTCTGTCATTGGCTGAGCAGGTCACGCCCATCATTGACCTCATGGCCATCTCTAACGCCCACTTTGCCAAACTACGTGATTTCATCACCCTGAGCCTGCCCCCTGGCTTCCCTGTCAAAATAGGTGAGAATAAAAACTGACCCCTAGCCCATACCTCCTAGGCTGGGGTCAGGATCTGAAACAGACAGTCCCAGAGAGAGAGGACATTAAGAGGAGTAGGTGCTATCAAAAGAAAAAGGAAGTTTTACAATTGCTTTACAATTTAGGCTGAAACGAGAGTTTGAAGATTTTCTTTCACACTTCCCACCTTACATCTCTCTGTCGCTCTCTTTCTCTCTCTCAGAGATCCCTCTGTTCCATGTGTTGAATGCTAGAGTGACCTTCAGTAACCTGTGTGGCTGTGATGAGCCTGTCAGCTCTGTCAATGTACACACACCAGAGGAGGCCCCCGAAGCTGGTAACCACACACACACATACACACATATATATATATATATATATACACACACTAACTCCCCGTCCATCTGCTCGCAGGGCAGGCCCCCCCTCCCTTTCACTGCGAGGTGGACCCCTCCGTTTTTGAACCACCCCCGGACTACACCACGCTTGGTCCGGGCCGCAGCGAGCCAATGAGAGACGAGGATGATAACTTGCTGCAGTTTGCCATCCAGCAGAGCCTATTGGATGCAGGGACAGAGAGCGACCAGGTGAGACAGGAAATATGTGTATTTTAGAGCTGGTTAATCCATGGTTTATATAAGTAATTGATCCACATCTTAGATATTTATCAGCTTTAGATTTTCATGACGATTGCCATGGAAGTTCAGAAAGTACAAGACATGCTTAATAATGCCTCTCTCTGTAGGTGACTATATGGGAAGCTCTGACTAACAGTCGTCCTGTTTCTGGGCACATACAGTCACCACTGTACGAGGACGACTCTCAGCTGGAGAGGTGAAAGAACGTACCTCCATTTTCCTTCACCTTGTCCATGTCAGATAATGTATTATAAGGCTTTCCCTCTCTACTTTTAAACTGTCCTCCCGCTACCTCTCTCTGATAGGGCGATCCAGGAGTCCCTGTCGATCTCATTGGCTAGTGGTGAGGAAGGAGATCCCGCATCTCCCCTGTCAGTCTCGTCGTCGGACCCCGGAGCCAACTCCCCTCCCTCCTACAGCTCAGTGGCTGAGCCGCGGTTGCCGGGGCCGTTTTCCGTGGTGAACAGCTTTGACGAGCAGCTACGCATCGCCATGGAACTCTCGTGCAGGGAGCAGGAAAAGATGGACAGGTGAGAGAGAGAGAGAGAGAGGAGGGTTTCTTTCTTTGTTCATCCATTGTTCTCTGACAAGAGGATGAGGAGAGGAACCCATCCTAGAGAATTTGGACAACGTCATGGAGAGGGGGATTAAAAGGATGGAAAGAAAATGATTTTGGGTGATTGACTTCCAGTTTCTATGCCTATTGACTTAATTATGTTTCCTGTTACAGGGAAAGGCAGCAGGAAGAGGAGGAGCTGGAGAGGATCCTTCAGCTTTCCCTCTTAGAGAAGTAGCCATGACGACCGTAGAGGCGGGGTCTTGATTGAGGAACAAACGTGTTAATTTATTTAATTTTTTTATCCTGCAGTGTTAAATTATTATTATTTTATTGTTTATTTTATGATGTGTTAATGGGGCACTGAAAGAGTATTGGACCAGAATGCAGGGAGGGAGGGAGTTGGACATGGTACTGGCCGCAGGGTGGGTAAAAGCAATGGGGTGGAAACTACTTTCCATTCACCAGTGGGCAACTGCCATATTTGCTGTCGCCTGTCCAGTGGGAAAGGTTGGTTAGAGAGATGAAAGGGGGAGAGGTACTGGGAGGGAAAGATGGTCAAACTAGCAGTGAGGCTATGAGAGCAGATACTTTTGGATGGATGAAGAGGGATTGAGAGAACTTTTCTTTTAGTTTTCTTTTTCACAACCCTGCTGTCATTATTTGAGTGATAAAAATCCTTAAACCTTTGACCTATGATACAAGCTAATAATAGTGACATACGATTTTAAAAATGCTTATAAGATTATTGAAAAAAATATAAATTATGTTATAATGTTTGAAACAGAATTATGTTGGTTGACTCTTGCGTGTGACTTGGAAAATACATTTACTCAATGTTCCTGAAGAATTTGTGTGGTAGTCCATTTCTGAATGTGTGTGTGTGAAGATGAGAAGCTGACCATTCACAGACATCTTGGTCAGTGTTAGTCTTTATGCAAAATGTTATTACACAAAATCTATATAACATTGTCTTATTTTCAACTCGAGAAAAGCAGGAGCTGTAAAAATAAAAAAATATAAAAAAGCCAGCATGATTCAAACAAGACGATATTTACATATCATTACAGTTTAAACTTGATTTTTTTGTAGGGCTTATTTGAAAAAAGTAGTTTGAATTACATTTGATTCACTGAAATCCATTCTACACATATTGGCATTGGCACAAGGATGATTTTCAGGATGTTGCCTTGCCATCATGACTTTATGGTACAAATTCCACTGCTTGTATACCACTTTATGTGAGAAATAAAACCATGCTAGATGTTGTAGATGACGTAGCTACATACTGTTAGTGGTGATTTAGACAACGCCCTTGTAGAGTTGATTAAACTGGAGTGTGTTTTCCTCTGTGACAGTGTGATGGTGTTGCTGTGCGTGCGTGTTATTTTTGTGTAGGGCGTAAAAACGGTGCTCCTGTGTAGATCTGTTCCCTCCTCCTCTGTACTGCTATGCAAAGCTCCTGATGCAGATCTTCAGGTCAGATGGAGAGTAAAGACCGAAAGTAGAGACAGACAGAAGATCAATTAAAGTAAAAGTCTGGGACTGCACCCACATCTATTGTAAACACACTGACGCTCTGAAGCTTATTGAGACACACCTGGGGTTGATATGTCATCTGCGTCCTGATATTCGTTCCCTGCCTCTGTGGCTTTGGTTGGAAGTGGCGGTATGGGATAGGAGGGAGGGGTGTCCCCCACCGGGGACTGTGTGTGGGTCATCGGTGCCACTGTTGCCATCGGGACCGTTTTGGATGGCAAAGTGGACTTTTCGGGTGGCAGCTCTGATGGGCACAGGTCACAAGTTACACACACTGTATGATACAGGAGTAATGATATGATCATTATGGGGATACGTTTAGCCTTAAGTGGTGAACAATGTTCCCTTTAAACTGCGTGTGTGTGCAGGGGGAGCTGCGCAGAAGAAATATCAGTCCACGCAGAGAAGCATGAGATTGAACTTCACTCAACTTTCTAGATTTAGTTAATCAACACTATCAACGTTGCCCTTTACTGCGGGAATTGTGATCTAATCGATACAATATTAGCCACTTTCAATGCAACATACCAAAACAAAATGAACTATGCAAAACTTAGTATACAAAACTAACTATGCAAGAGATTTTGTTGTAGGCAGAATGCATCGGAGTTGGATTCTATTGCATTGACAGGCACAACTCAACCGGTACTCTACACAGATGGGTGCGCCATAACCAATCAGAGCTGCAATAGGCTTATATGCAAATAGGCCATTGCCATATATGGATCTGTACCATTCACTTTGAACTAGACTGTGTTTACGGCATGAGCGGTCGACAGTAGATTTGCTTGTTTTGAGATCAAAGCAAGAGCTGCATGTAGCCACGTGCACATTTGTTCATATCCTTTGCTAGTTAGTGAGTTATTAGCCCAGTTATAGATCATTTGTAGTCAGCAATGGTGGAGTGATTGCTTCCTACAAGAGCACAAAATGTGTACATTTCTAGACATCTTTGAAAAGCGAGTCAGGTAAAGATCTATTTTTGTCTTAAAGGGGCAGTGTTGTATTTTGAGACAGGCTTGAATAAGCTAAGTAGCCAATAGGCAGAGGGTAGCATAATTTGTCAGATTTTCTGTAATAATGGTATGTGAATAATAATGCATTTTATTTTGTAAAGTGTTTTTTTGCATCAAACAACAACTCCTTGTCTGAAGGACAAGTGGATTAACAGGTTAATGTTAAACCCTTCATGTTTTTTTCCAAAAGTCTCATGGAATGTAGGCCTATATTGAACACCACACATTGGCTGCTACTGTAGGCTGAATGATAGAACAGCTATTTCCATGGTAAAATGTTATGGGATCCATTTTCTCCATTGTTTTTGATGGTAGGCCACTGGTAGGCCTACATTATGATCAAATAGCCACAGTAGCCTAGTTGACCACTGTCTGAAACTGTAACTTAAAGCGGGTACAGCCTCAGTGTTCACAGTAAACGCATGCTGGAAGTTGCACAGAATTTTCACAACATTCAGGTTTTCGCTCAGCAGACCTGAAATTTGCTCAGTGCTGGAAAAGATTTGAGAGAACATTAGTGGTGAATCAAGTTATTTGTGGAGTTATGATGCTCTCTCACCAATGCAGGTGTCGTAGGTCTGCGGAACCAGGTATGGGTGCAGACGGAACTCTGTCGCCTTCAGGAAGTGATCTAGCACCGCTGCCAGGGAAGGGACAGTCACCTGATGAAACAGACAGACATTAGGAAGTTACCTCATTTTGGAGGCAGGCATAGGACAAACATGTCATTTCACAAAAGCAACTTGACAGACTGTCAAGGCACTAAGCGTATACAGAGTGTAGTCTTTCATATCAGTGCTATGTTTTGAGCCCATCCTGATAGGATGAGAGTCAGTTGAGAGTCAGGCTGGAGGAGCAGGACTCACCGGGACATTTAGTTCTATGACAAAGCCTGTGTCTATGGAAAGCACTTTGTAGTTCTTCATCACTGGGCCACTAAAAGATAGAAAGAGTCTGGTAAGTCTTAAGAGTACTCACCAAGGTCTCCTCTCTAGTCCCTCAACCAGAGACACTGTTGTCTTATAGGGTAAAGGTGCTGTTTTCAATACAGGTTTGTTAAGTGGAGGGTGAAATACTTGAGGCCTGTAAGTAACAGAGGAATTACAGGGTGTTGGAGTTTGCGGTTAAAGGTCAGGGGTGTGGTGTTAAAGTTCAAAACCTGGGGTTGTCCTGTCTCAAGGTGATGGCGTAGTTAGTGTTGTCAGTCGAGGGACGGAGGATGATGCTGCCGTACTCTGTGTTCTCTTTCAACATCTTCTCTGCCTTCTGACGAGATACAGGGAAGAAACAGCTGGAGGGAGGAGGAGAAAAGGAGGGTGAGAGGAGACCGGGAGAGAACAATACGTTTTTGCATTAAATAAGGAACAGAAACATGGCAATTCTCACGGGGGGATTCCAGAGAGGGTGTTGTCATATGTGTTGCCTGGGGAGGAGGAGGGATGGATAGGGTAGGTGGTGGTAGACAGAGCGGGACAGGGGGCCTGTCTCTTCTGCTCCTCAGACAGAACCTCTTCCAGCCTCAGCATCTGACCTGGGAGCAGCTGCAGCTTACTGGGGATCTCCCTCTGCAGGGCACATCATCCTCATCATCATCATCATCAGTATCATCATCCCCAAAAGATGCATAATACTAAGGTATACTAAGGTTTATAATTTTTCTCTCTGTCTGTAATCACGCACCAGTGAAACAAATTGCAAGATTACTTTGCTCTTTAGTTTAATCTATAAACTCTCTCTTTTTACTTACCTCTCAGGAATGTGGGTCAGAATAAGTATTTAATGGTGACAGTGTGTGTGTGTGTTATACTCACAGTGGCCACAGTCATGATGAAGCCTCTCCACTCCTCTCCTGTGTCGGGGTTATCCACCTACATCAGATATCAACAGTTAGTACTCCTGCCCCAGATGCCTGTTATGGCTGCAGTATTGTGCAACAACTTTTATATGACTATTTGCCAGTAAGACATTATGTATAGGAGTGGCAGCAATATGACTGAATGTAACATAAATTACCTTTAGCTGCACTTCCTCATTGGACAGGGTGAGAGTGTAGATGGTCGACCTTTTCTTTTGATAGGGAGCATCCATCGACATCGACTTCAACATCTGAAGGTCCAATTTCTCTGAGTACTGACAGGGAATTACATATCCGATTAGTCAAGCCATAGATCGATTCCAATACTTGATTAAAGTACAATAAAACTGAGAGATTAGATGAATGCTGCTATTCTCTTACTGTGTCATGCATTTGGTCTGTGTACAGAAAGATTGTAGATCCACGGAGCTCTCCATAACATTTCTTGAAGTCCTGGAAAAGGCCAAACCAGATTCAACATGCGGTCCACTACTCTACACTAGCAGAGACATGACCAACAGCTTTACTTGATACATTAAAAATACATATTTCTAAATCTAACATTGATAAGTTCACTAGCCTTCTCATTCTCTCTTCTCTCCCTCATGCTTACAGTCTGTCATTCTCTCTCTACGATTCCTTATTCCCTCTCCACCATTCTCTCCCTCCTTACTTTCTCTCCAGTGCATTTCTTCAGCAGGTGTCCTGAGTAGTACAGAGGTAGAGCTGTAATGGTGTCCCTCCTTTTATTCACCCCTATAGGGAATGCTGCCATGGTTCCACTTTGTCCCGGTCCAGGTCAGCTCAGGTTGGTTCGTTCCAGTTCAGTTCACTATAACCCAGACCAATTTGGTCCCTGAGATAGCCCTCTGTGACCCAGTCCACCACTTTAACCGATTCACTCAGAACTTTTACTCCTGCAGAATAATTAAGTGTCTGTGTGATTCATTAGCTTATCGTCTTCTCTCTCCCTCAGTCCTCGGTCAGTATAGGGACTTAGAGAATGAGGAAGCAGTGCAGTGATTTACTGAGGGAAATGTACCACCTCTAGGTAAGGCTCCCTTTAGCACTTTAGACCCGGGTCTGACACGCCCACGCACATGCGCGCACACACATGCACACAGCTGATGATCATCCTCCTAACGACCACTGCCCTCTGTGAGTACACAAACCAGCACTCCCCATTAACAATGAAGATTTGTATTTAAACAGTTGGGGGGAAATACACAAATGGATAGATAGAGATCATGTCATTAGATGAGAACATGACTGACTGTGTTCTTCTAACTGTGCTCTTCCCAGTAATAGATTCCACCTTTGGAAGATTGCAGACAAAGAACATCCAGAATCTCTGACACATCTGGAAATGTATCACCCATCAGACCAACCAAACCAGGTTTGCTCCCCTCTCCAACTTATACCACATTCAGGCTAGATCAATTTTATAAACCAATATTAAAAGTGTTATTAAACTAGATTTAAAAGTGTTATGTTCTATAATCCTAGCCTTATTCCCATATCTCTTCAAGGTTGCCCAGCACGATGGTCTCTCTCTGCCTGGGCTCATCTGGACACTAGGATCTATACTATCCCTGCTCTTCCAGATCCTTTGGCTCCTTCTATTGATGTTGTGGTGGTTCGCCTACACCCTATTGTCCCTAATATATTTGAGTGTGGGGTTTAACATGTCCTGTCTCTTCCAGGTTATCAGTCTGTTGTGCAGTGTTACATACACTACATTACATTCAACACCATTGTATAAGATTGCGGACATCAGGCATGATAGGGTGGCAGTGTGAAGTAGCGTAAGTGTCTAACATGTGAAGTACAGAATTATGCATTTTTGGTGGCATGGAGTTTTGGCCTGCCTGGTGACATCACCAGGCGCTAAATTGGTTAATAGACCAATAAGAGAGTTCCAAACCTCTCTGACAATAATAGCTAGTTTTCAGTTTCCCTCTCCCCATGGGCCCCAGACAGTCCTAGCAAAATTCTTGCTAGAGAAGCTATTTTTGACCATTTTAATTTAAAACAATCACAGTAAGGTACTTAATTGTTACCCATCAATTATTTGATATTGAGATCAAAACAGCTGCATTGGACCTTTAAGAATTGTTTTGTGTACTGTATGAATAAATGGAATATAAAGACAAAGTTAGGCCTATATGTGTTTTTTATCATGGGCCCAGAAATATAATTTAGAATTTATAAAAGGCATCACATCGTCCTTTGAAAAGCTGACGTTTTTGGCAAGGACAGGTCGCCTGCGGTTCAGGTGCAACTGCTCCTGCCGGGCCACCTTACAGCTTCAAACCCCTCGACAGCAATTGGACGTTTTTGTTGTCCAACCAATTGTACGGCTCGTAAGGGCAGAAAACCCCGGGAACATTATTACTCCAAGTCTGTCCAACACTGAAACTGTTGGCAAACAAATTTCCCACTAAACTAAAAGTGGTAGCAAGCTAGATTATCAAGTTAGACAGCTAACATTTTTTAAATACACTATTTAATAACTCTTCCTTTTGAAATTTTAGTGGACTTTTAATAAGCCATCGCTAACGATGGCTCACGCGGTAAGTTAGCAGTATGCCAGCAGCTAAATTCGCGAATGGAAACGTGTTAGCTATAATTTACTATCGAAGTTGAGGGTTGAATTGTAGTCGCGAGATTCAAGTTTAGTTAGCATTGGGCGCGTTGGAGCAGATCACTTTTTTAAAGTCGCCTTTCAAAGGTTGCATTAATGTGGTTAAAAAAAATTCGCCTACTGCTTGAACTTTACAAAAATCATGTGAACAAAGGTCATGACGTTTTGACAGCAAGTTTCTGCAGTTGCTCTTTACCAACTTCATCCTGCAGCCATCGCCTTGCTCAGTTGGTAGAGCATGGCGCTTGCAACGCCAGGGTTGTGGGTTCGTTTCCCATGGGGGGCCAGTATGAAGAAAAAAAAATGTATGAACTCACTAACTGTAAGTGCTAAATGACTAAAATGTCAATGTAAATAGAGCTCGCCAGTTTGTAGTCCTACAACCCGGAAATGAGTTACCTCAGGTTTGTTTAGCCATCCATATAGGGAAAGAAAAGGGATTAAGGTTATGAAGCCTTTATGTGCTTTTTGAAATTAGATTAATGCTGAAATTCACAAAAAGTGATGTTAGCTGATAAAGGATATAAGATCTCCTAAGCCTGTGTTTACCACAGACCTTATTTTCAGTGTTTATTCAAAAATGCCATTAATTTCCCCATAGGCTTTGTACAACGAACCATTGGGGAGTTGGTGCCTACAAAAAGACGCCATTACTACTTCTCTTTATTGTGGGAGGATCTATTGTCAACCAATCATTAGGGTTTTTGTTTGACCCACTAGAACGTGACCAGACCAACATTGCCACTGATTCAGGCATACAGTGGCGTAATACCAATTAATGTGATATTTGACACTCTGTCACTGATTTCATTTTGTGAGTGTGTGATATCGGGGTTGGAACCATGTTTATTTCGACATTATAAAGAAAAACTTTTATAAACAATGGCAACACTGCCATGTTGATCTGAGCCTTGCTGTCAGAAAACCACATTGTCAGACTTTCGGCTGTTACAGATACATCTCCCCTGATTTAGTCCCGTGTAGCTCAGTTGGTAGAGCATGGCGCTTGCAACGCCAGGGTTGTGGGTTCGATTCCCACGGGGGGCCAGTATGAAAATATGAAAATGTATGGATAAGAGCGTCTGCTAAATTACTAAAATGTAAATGTAAATTTAACTCCCAGTCAGTTGCTTCACCTTACCACTCAAACGCGCCCTATGCCATTTCCATAGAGGGCAGGTGCACTAGTATCTGTGTGTTAGAGATGAGTATGACTGTCTCCGCTCTAACGCCCAGAAAGCTCAGTTTCAAACTCCCATTAGATGGCTCTGCAAGCATTACAGTGGGGGAAAAAAGTTTTTAGTCAGCCACCAATTGTGCAAGTTCTCCCACTTAAAAAGATGAGAGAGGCCTGTAATTTTCATCATAGGTACACGTCAGCTATGACAGACCAATGGAGAGAAAAAAATCCAGAAAATCACATTGTAGGATTTTTAATGAATTTATTTGCAAATTATGGTGGAAAATAAGTATTTGGTCACCTACAAACAAGCAAGATTTCTGGCTCTCACAGACCTGTAACTTCTTCTTTAAGAGGCTCCTCTGTCCTCCACTCGTTGCCTGTATTAATGGCACCTGTTTGAACTTGTTATCAGTATAAAAGACACCTGTCCACAACCTCAAACAGTCACACTCCAAACTCCACTATGGCCAAGACCAAAGAGCTGTCAAAGGACACCAGAAACAAAATTGTAGACCTGCACCAGGCTGGGAAGACTGAATCTGCAAGAGGTAAGCAGCTTGGTTTGAAGAAATCAACTGTGGGAGCAATTATTAGGAAATGGAAGACATACAAGACCACTGATAATCTTCCTCGATCTGGGGCTCCACGCAAGATCTCACCCCGTGGGGTCAAAATGATCACAAGAACGGTGAGCAAAAATCCCAGAACCACACGGGGGGACCTAGTGAATGACCTGCAGAGAGCTGGAACCAAAGTAACAAAGCCTACCATCAGTAACACACTACGCCGCCAGGGACTCAAATCCTGCAGTGCCAGACGTGTCCCCCTGCTTAAGCCAGTAGATGTCCAGGCCCGTCTGAAGTTTGCTAGAGTGCATTTGGATGATCCAGAAGAGGATTGGGAGAATGTCATATGGTCAGATGAAACCAAAATATAACTTTTTGGTAAAAACTCAACTCGTCGTGTTTGGAGGACAAAGAATGCTGAGTTGCATCCAAAGAACACCATACCTACTGTGAAGCATGGGGGTGGAAACATCATGCTTTGGGGCTGTTTTTCTGCAAAGGGACCAGGACGACTGATCCTTGTAAAGGAAAGAATGAATGGGGCCATGTATCGTGAGATTTTGAGTGAAAACCTCCTTCCATCAGCAAGGGCATTGAAGATGAAACGTGGCTGGGTCTTTCAGCATGACAATGATCCCAAACACACTGCCCGGGCAACGAAGGAGTGGCTTCGTAAGAAGTATTTCAAGGTCCTGGAGTGGCCTAGCCAGTCTCCAGATCTCAACCCCATAGAAAATCTTTGGAGGGAGTTGAAAGTCCGTGTTGCCCAGCGACAGCCCCAAAACATCACTGCTCTAGAGGAGATCTGCATGGAGGAATGGGCCAAAATACCAGCAACAGTGTGTGAAAACCTTGTGAAGACTTACAGAAAACGTTTGACCTGTGTCATTGCCAACAAAGGGTATATAACAAAGTATTGAGAAACTTTTGTTATTGACCAAATACTTATTTTCCACCATAATTTGCAAATAAATTCATTAAAAATCCTACAATGTGATTTTCTGGATTTTTTTTCTCTCGTAACCAATGTATTTTGACATTATAACGCTTGCAGAGCTGTCTAATGGGAGTTTGAATTGGAGCTTCCTGGGCATTAGAGAGGAGAGATGTCATAAAAAAAAAAGTCCATCTGTAACACAGAGATACTGAGGCAGGGTGATATGACACAGATAATGTTGTGTTTTTCGGCCAGCAGGACAAATTGTAGCATGTCTGCTGGTGATGGAAGTCAACTGACTGGCGAAACACAAAGCTATAATATTTATACAGGTGTAGTTTAGTTAGCTATGTTAATAGTACTGAGGTTGGTATAAAGAACCATACTAATTGGCCACATTTTGTCGACTGTGGGTGGTGGTGTGTTTTTAACAGGGAGATCTGTCACACCTTGCCATCAGAGTGTGATGATGATGAACCACCAGAATGATGAGGAAGAGGGTGGTAATAAAGACAACAGATTCTACATCGAGGCCTCCAGCAGCTCAGAAGGTGAACTGGGGTTTAGTCAATACAAACAGTCCAGCTCACAGAGAGCTCCCCAGGCCACTGGAGGGAACTCTCCCCTAGTTCTGGCCTTCCCTCTCTCGTCTGGCCGGGCTCTACAGGATGTGTCCCCACTGGACAGCAGCCCAAGCCCAACCTCCAGGCGAGGCCTCGACTCAGAGCGGGACCAGGACCTGCAGTATTATGACGAACCTCTAGAGGAGTGGATGATCCTGGGAGGAGAGGAGCAGGAGGGAGACGGGGACATTCAGCTCAACCTGGGGTACTGGAGCAGCAGCTCAGAGTCACATTCTGGAACAGAAGGTGAGGACCAGACAGTTCAACACTTGACAGAGTTCTGCAGACAAGAGGGTTCTGCAGATGAGAGTTCCGCAGACAAGAGAGTTCCACAGACAGAGAAAAGTTCAGCAGATGGACAATTCCACAGACAAAAGGAGTTCCTCAGACAGAGTTCTGCAGATGGACAATTCCACAGACAAAAGGAGTTCCTCAGACAGAGTTCTGCAGATGGACAATTCCACAGACAAAAGGAGTTCCTCAGACAGAGTTCTGCAGATGGACAATTCCACAGACAAAAGGAGTTCCTCAGACAGAGTTCTGCAGATGGACAATTCCACAGACAAAAGGAGTTCCTCAGACAGAGTTCTGCAGATGGACAATTCCACAGACAAAAGGAGTTCCTCAGACAGAGTTCTGCAGATGGAGTTCTATGGATGTTATAGTGATTTATACCATGGTGTTGTTGAATACTAGTTTCTGATTGGCTTGAAGGGCATTCTAGAGCGTGCATTATTTCCCTGTAACGCCACGGTATAATTCAATGGCTAGTTCATTCTTACATGTTCTATGTTTGAGCTGCTTTTGAAAGCAAAAGTTGAATTTAAAACATTATTGGCATTGTTGAATTCGATTTTCATAATAGCAAGCTAGGACTGATGGTTTGGTTAGCTAAACTAGCAAGTCTGTTTGTTTACCAAGGCAGCTACTGTAGCTATCTAGGAAACTTGCTAGCTACTTCAGTGGTTGTTGAACATGTTTCTACCTGCAAATGAAGACATTTATATCAGCAAATGTGTTAAATTATAGTCATGGTTTAAAAGAGATAATCAACTCGGGGCTCTATGCGTTCTCTGGAAAATAATGCAACTCCGTGGAAGGTCAGTTCCACTCCGCTAGCGCGTCGTTTTCCATAGAACGCATAGCCTCTTGTTGATTATCCTTTACGTATTTGAATGTGTCCCTCAGAGATACATATTTGTTACACAGAGTAGCAGTGTATGGCATGTTAATGACTTGTTTGGACACAATGGTTTTCATGTGTTATAAAGGCGCTATGCTTGTTGTCTCTCTCACAGATGAAGAACTGAATGCAAAATATGCTCTCAAACACAACTGGGCCATAATAGAGAAGGACAAGGTACTATTATCATTAGTTATCATCACTATTCTGGAGTTTGGGCCAGTTTCAGTCTGCGTGAAGCCCTCAGGGCTCAGATAATTGGCTTGTTCAAATGATTCTTTATCCTGTTTCTGCCCTGTTCCAGTCCTGTGTCAACCAGCCACGCCCATATCGCTACTTCACCTCTGACCGGAGCCTCACCTGCCACAACTGCAATAAGACTGGACACCTGGCCAAGAGCTGTACCACTCCTAAGGTAAAACACATACACACACACACACACACATACTCCAACACTGCTCACGTTGTGTTTCTCTGTAAACAGAGGCGACCCACCTGTGTGTTGTGTGGGCTCCAAGGCCATGTCCAGAGGGCCTGTCCAGGCCGGCACTGCCACAGCTGTGGGCTCCCCTCACACGGGCACCAGCCCTGCCCTGAACCCCCTTTCTGGAACCAGCACTGCCTCCGCTGTGGGATGACTGGCCACCTAACAGACGTAAGTGTGTGTGTTTACCACAAGCCTTTATGTGCGTTTATGTGTGTGTTTTTGTGTGTGTGTTTGCAGGTAGCCTTGAGCATGTGTAGTATGTGTTCATGTGTGTGTCTTTGTGTTGAGTTCAGTGCAACATGTCCTTAATGTGTTCTGTGTCCTTCCCAGGCCTGTCCGGATACATGGAGACAATTCCACTTCACAGTGAGTGACCATGGAAAGGAGGGGAGGAAGGAAGGGTGAATTATTAAAATATTGGAACATGTCCCCTGACTGTTTTGTCTTGTTTTAGACTCAGGAGGAGGTTCCCCTCAGGCCACACAGTGACCACACCCACAAACACCACAGACACACCGCCCACTGCTACAACTGCTCCAGGAGAGGACACCATGGCCATGTGAGACCAACTGCATCCGGTGGCTGTCTTTCTCTGTGGTTCTTTCTTTCTCTTATTCCTTTCTCTGTCTTTTAAAAAATATCTTATTGTCCCTCTATCTCCCTTTGCCTCTGTATTTTTTGCTCACCCTTCCCCCCTTCTCTCTCTCCCTGCCGCTCTCTCTCTCAGGAGTGTACTCAGAGGAGGATGGTCAGTGGGACGTTTGCCTCGCTCCCCTATGTCTGTCACTACGACAACAAGCAGGACATCATCAAACAGAATACCAGGATACACAGAAAAGCCAGAGGTGATGCACTACACACACACACACACAAATGTGTCACAGCATGTATTGTATATGTTGTAGAACTTGTTTTGTATGGTGTCTCCAGAGCTACAGGAGGAGGGCTTCATGCCTCCGTTAGAGGGCCAGAGGACCTCCATGACACCAGGGGGCAGTAGTGAAGAGGAGCGGCCATCCCCAGCTCCAGGGAGGAGGAGAAGCCTGGAGGGCAGGAGGAAGACGTGGCCGGAGAGACGCAGGGAGAGACGGGAGGTGAAGAAGCTGAGGAGAGAGGCCCAAGCCAGGAGAGCGGTTGGGACGACCAAATGGGGCTCAGACGAGGTTGTTTACTCCAGGGACCCCTTTAAGAACACCCACAGAGAACCCATACCTCCCCTTCAGAAGAAGAGACGCCGTGAGGAGAGGAGGGAGAGCAGGAGTGAGGAGAGGAGTAGGAAGGGCAGAAGTAAAGAGAGGAGTAGGAAGAACAGAGAAGCAGAGAGGTGGAAGAAGAGAGGAGGGCTGAAGCATGGGTACCTGTACCCCTGTGATGACTTGGGACCCATGGATGATTACCTCCTCTCCCCAAAAAACAGGGTGCGGATTTCATAAGAATACAGAGATAATGTGTTTGTATTGTATTCCATTATGTTTGAATGGCTGATGAGTGTCTTGAGAATTTTAGTCACAAAAATGTGGGTTTTATTATTTTGTGGTAGAAATGGCAGGGATGTGACATTGCAGGACACTGTTGGAGTATAGGAAAGGTTAGAAAAATACTTGGGTTTTTTAACTTATTCATTGAATGATTGACAAATAAAGCATTAGGCTATGGCAATGTCTTTATTTTCTTTATACCAGACCACCTTTGTTCACAATACCAAATACTGAAACAAGACTACTAAATTATTTATTAGGTTGATTCCTCCCAGTCGCTTACCAGACAAAATTAATCAATGCAGTGATCGATTGTTGTCGGAATAATCAACAATATGGCCTGAAAAGAAACCACTCGTTTTAAATCGAACATATGCTCAAATACATGTATTCGAGGTGGGTTGGGTGTGAGGATTTTTTGCACAATGCAAGAAATGCGTCTTCAGAGATTTCTGTGCTCGATTAGATTGGTCTGACCAGAGATCTGAACATCCCATTGATTGATCTCCACTTACGCTCCCCACTGACATCTATAGAGAAAACACCACCAGCTTCAACAGTGAATGTACAATGCGTGGTGGGGATTTAAATCGGACGAAGACCAACATTCTCTGAAGATCAGGCAAGACATTCTGCCGCTTCTATCTGGGATCAACCAACATCGCCTAAAAAGGTTAGCAACATACATGCCAACAATGAGCAGAAATTGTAGCTAGCTCTCTCTGGCTATCTAGCTAGTTAAATTGTTTTTCTAGCTAGCTAGCGTTCCCGTTAGCAATAAGCTCGCTAACAACGACGGGTTGAGCTGACATTTTAATAGCAAAAAAACGTCACTAGTTAGCCATGTACAATTTGTGGAGGGTTACCAAGTGTAATGTGGGAATTCAGGAATATTAAATGTTTTATCTAACGTTAGCAAACAGCATTTCTGAACTGTGGTTTGTTAGTTAACTAGCCCGGGAGACAGCTAATGTTAGCTAATATATGCTAACGTTAAATAGCAGCAAGCTAAGTTTGTTGGCTGGCTAGGTAGTTACAGTTGTAGTAATAATATTTACTTTAATGTCAGTTGTGTGTTAACATTATCCAACCATCAAATAGTCTAACTGAATGTGGAACTCTGGCGAGCTTGTCTCATTTCACACTGACAAGTAGCTAGAAAGCCAGTAGTAGGTAGGCAAGCTTCATGAGACAATAGAAAAACTGAAACGGGTACAGCCCAGATACATTCACTAAAGCTTTTTGTTATGTACCTATGTGGATTGTTTTGGATGTTTGCATTATGTGCATTGCTATGACCGAACAAACTAATATACCAAATTGACCTCTATAGGGATACAAAAATAAATCCATCTTTGGAACGTTTTTGACTGACGGTGACGCGCAACACAGACCAAGAGAGAAGGTGCAAGAACTTAATCACGAACGACGGTAGAGAGGACGGCTCGAGCACCCGCTGCTTCCAGTTTTACCTACGCCCCAAACCGAGCGGTTCATGCGAAGGAAGAGACTCTCCAGAACAGGCCTATTACGAAGATAGCAAGGCGAGGGAAGTAGGCTACGGCAAACCTCCATCTGTCCCAGATACCTCCATTACGTCCACCTACCATCGCCCCCTTCAGCCATGGACCCCCCGAGGACTCGGTCGCGGTCACGGTCAGGTTTCTTCCACTATGGCATGAACGGTGGTGGCAACGGCAATAACGCAATCAACAACGGGAACATGAATGCTAGCGGAGGGATCGGGGTGAACTACCCCCAACAGAACAACACCGGCTGGGCTCCGCACACAGCGCGCAGCTATACAGACAACCAGCACACCCAAGGGAACTACCTGTCTGGCGGGGCGCAACGCCACGCTTCGCATGGAGCACACAGACACCCCGGCACTGGTAAGCTTCAACGTCTCCCTCCCTTTCCCTACTAATCTTGATGCATCACACCCCGTGCATAGATGAGTGTACCATGCAATTTAGCAGGTGCCAGGCTTGACATGTAAACAGTGCAGTCTTCCTCTTAGCTGTATAACATTTATCTTCAGTGCAGTGTTCTTGGTGTTTATTGTCTGAAAATATTTTCTCATCCATCTAGTGTTGTCTGTAGTCGGGTGACTATGAGAGGTAAGGAGAGAAACTTTAGTAGCGTCCTCACTGCTTATGTGAAAGGCCCGAACAGCCTGTCTGATCTATGAATTGCCTACATTTCCGAACAACATTAATATATTTGCCCCATTTATTTGTGCGTTAGAGATGTCGCTGTATCCTCTTTAACACCCAGGAAGCTCCTATTCAAACTCCCATTTGACAGCTCTGCAAGCGTTAAGTCAAAAATAAGTTTGTTACTCACCAAATATGGAGTTTCGCTGAGCAATTATCTTTATTTTCACCCGTTACGGCCAGTATGTACTTCCAAAAAGGGTCAAAATATATTTTTTTACACGCAGCCAAAAGCAATGCCTATTCGGCACCTCCAATGGATAGATGACTAATTACTGCCACGCACAGGTCAGAAGTCTACAACAGCTCAATACAGTGGAAAGGCATTTTTTTCGGTTGCTTGTAAATAGATATTTAGACATTTTTTGGAAGTACATATTGGCAGTAACGGGAGTTGATAAAGATGGTTGCTTAGTGAAACAATATCTGGTGAGTAACGAAAGTATTTTGACATTATAACGCTTGCAAAGCTGTCTAATGGGTGTTTCAGAACAAGCTCTATTTTGGTGGTACATTCTAATTTACATTACATTTTAGTCATTTAGCAGACGCTCTTATCCAGAGCGACTTACAGTAGTGAGTACATACATTTTCATAAATTTTACATACATTCTAATGGCTTGATTCCACCCGAAATACACAGCTAAATTATTGAATACTTTAACGAGTTGTGGTATTGAGTAGAAATGCATGACTTTACAATAAAAATGACCGAATGTATTAATTCGGTGTGTTAGTGGTTTTGGATATCATTTAGGCCAGGAATCATCAACTAGATTAAGCCGCAGGCCAAATGTAATTTTGAAAAATATTTGTAAAATATGTGTTAATTATTTATTGTTATTTTTTTTTTGAGGGTATGTTCAGGGGGCCGGAACATAATTACAAAGAATTTGTATACTGCAAATTGACCACAAGAAGCCCAAACAGATATAATATTTGACTAAAACATAATCATTTCAAACCTTTCTTACATTTGTGTACGATAACATGTATGTCTCTCTCTATGTGTAGGAATACTTTGGAACAGATATCCAAAATTTAAATCATTTGGAGACGGTTTACTGGTGTTTTTAGTCGTCTGTCAAACAAAATAAATAATTTTTGCTTAGAAAACTTGGGGGTGCCAAATAAAATCACGGCCCACAGACCGCCAGTTGGGGAACCCTGTCCTAGGCCCATATGGTCAAGACTATTTCCTAAGTAAGATTAAAAAACATTAAACCTGTCTTCTCTTGAGATTAGTAATATTTACAGGTTACTGCAAGATATGAATTGCCATAATGACGTTTGTTCTTCAAATTATGTGTTCTATTGGCTCTGCTGCTGTGGACACTTAGGGAAAGGAATCCATTTTGTAATTTGGGTGAACTATCACTTTAACAGTTTGGCCTGTCGATCTCTGTGGGTGGGGTTTTTCAGGGGAGGGGGCAGGATGTTTGTCACAGTTGGTGGGTTTTCAAAACTGTCAATCATTCACTGTGAGTGGGACTTTGAGGGAAGGTGGTAGATTAGTCATCTAGTCAGAACTAGTCTTTCAATTTAGTTCATTGTGGCAAAAACCTAGGAAAAAAGGTTGATCTGTCAAATGAACATGGATTCCCTGTTGAGAAACAATATAGAATTGCAGGAAAATGGTTTAAAAAAATTCAGGGGGAGGACCCCCAGACCCCGCCAGATTGTGCACCCCCACTTTTATACAAAGTCAGGCGCCCCCATGAATAGACCTACAGGCATGATTGAAGAATGAAGCAGGTGTTAAACTTGGTCTTTGCTACACAGAAAGCAACAGTTGACTACTTCATTGTCGACACTAATCAAATCAGTAGGCCTATATCAATATCTGTAATAATACCATATACAGTGGGGAGAACAAGTATTTGATACACTGCCGATTTTGCAGGTTTTCCTACTTACAAAGGATGTAGAGGTCTGTAATTTTTATCATAGGTACACTTCAACTGTGACAGACGGAATCTAAAACAAAAATTCAGAAAATCACATTGTGTGATTTCTAAGTAATTCATTTGCATTTTATTGCATGACATAAGTATTTGATCACCTACCAACCAGTAAGAATTCCAGCTCTCATAGACCTGTTAGTTTTTCTTTAAGAAGCCCTCCTGTTCTTCACTCATTACCTGTATTAACTGCACCTGTTTGAACTCGTTACCTGTATAAAAGACACCTGTCCACACATTCAATCAAACAGACTCCAACCTCTCCACAATGGCCAAGAGCAGAGAGCTGTGTAAGGACATCAGGGATAAAATTGTAGACCTGCACAATGCTGGGATGGGCTACAGGACAATAGACAAGCAGCTTGGTGAGAAGGCAACAACTGTTGGCGCAATTATTAGAAAATGGAAGAAGTTCAAGATGACGGTCAATCACCCTCGGTCTGGGGCTCCATGCAAGATCTCACCTCGTGGGGCATCAATGATCACAAGGAAGATGAGGGATCAGCCCAGAACTACACGGCAGGACCTGGTCAATGACCTGAAGAGAGCTGGGACCACAGTCTCAAAGAGAACCATTAGTAACACACTACGCCGTCATGGATAAAAATCCTGCAGCGCACACAAGGTCCCCCTGCTCAAGCCAGCGCATGTCCAGGCCCATCTGAAGTTTGCCAATGACCATCTGGATGATCCAGAGGAGGAATGGGAGAAGGTCATGTGGTCTGATGAGACAAAAATAGAGCTTTTTGGTCTAAACTCCACTCGCCGTGTTTGGAGGAAGAAGAAGGATGAGTACAAACCCAAGAACACCATCCCAACCGTGAAGCATGGAGGTGGAAACATCATTCTCTGGGGATGCTTTTTCTGCAAAGGGGACAGGACGACTGCACCGTATTGAGGGGAGGATGGATGGGGCCATGTATCGCGAGATCTTGGCCAACAACCTCCTTCCCTCAGTAAGAGCATTGAAGATGGGTCGTGGCTGGGTCTTCCAGCATGACAACGACCCAAAACACACAGCCAGGGCAACTAAGGAGTGGCTCCGTAAAAAGCATCTCAAGGTCCTGGAGTGGCCTAGCCAGTCTCCAGACCTGAACCCAATATAACATCTTTGGAGGGAGCTGAAAGTCCGTATTGCCCAGCGACAGCCCCGAAACCTGAAGGATTTGGAGAAGGTCTGTATGGAGGAGTGGGCCAAAATCCCTGCTGCAGTGTGCAAACCTGGTCAAGACCTACAGGAAATGTATGATCTCTGTAATTGCAAACACAGGTTTCTGTACCAAATATTAAGTTCCGCTTTTCTGATGTATCAAATACTTATGTCATGCAATAAAATGCAAATGAATTACTTAAAAATCATTTTTGTTTTAGATTCCGTCTCTCACAGTTGAAGTGTACCTATGATAAAAATTACAGACCTCTACATGCTTTGTAAGTAGGCAAACCTGCAAAATTGGCAGTGTATCAAATACTTGTTCTCCCCACTGTAAGTATCATGACATTTGCTTTTATAACCTTCAATCTGTTTTCTTTTATCATATTTTGGACCAGTATTACGCGCTCTCTCTCCACTAACTATTGTTCCTGCAGGGAGGATTCAACGTTTTCATAATTTATCAGCAAATCGCCAAAAAGTAGTAGTAGTAGTAGTAGTAGTAGCCTACTAGGGAGCCAAATGAACGGCTCGCTCACTGGTTCCGATCGGTTCGTTCACGAACAACCCATCACTAGGCTACACTGACGAGTCACTGGCAAGTCTCGACACTGGCTTCGAATCCTAGGGAAATAAAAACAAGATATTTTGGTTTACTTGTCCCGAAGTGATACCAGGGATGTATAACGACGTTGTATGATTTATGAATAGCAATGGGATATAGGAGATTTTACTTTATTCAGTCAGTTCGACACCTTTTTATAAACTCGTGAACACAAGCTGTCCGCTCCTCAAAGAACCGTAAATAGCCTATGCGCCCCTACTCTGTGGCTGGCCATAGGCCTATGAAACATGCAAAGAAATTAAATGAATGTGCCGCAAAACGATAAGCAGATTATAACTCATTATTACCACTGACATTACATGGGATGTGTACATTCACTCACAGGAGATGAAGAAGCATCATGCGCTCCCGCCTCCATGAAAATACATTTGACTGCAGCCAACCCCAGCGCACAAAAATAACACCGGTGCAGAGAGGCGGGACAGACAGCAGACTGACAAACCAGCAGTGGTTCTCTGTCATCGCTCGCTTTGTGACCGACAGGCGCCGTCCTATCATTAATCCATAGAAGTTGCATATCGTTCATTCTAGCGAGAGAAGGCTATTCAGACTTCTCTGACTAGCGAATTGAAACTTTTAAATGGAAAGAAGCCTAGTTAATTTATGAAGTGGAAAAAGTAGCTGGATGACAATGAGTCTTATCGGTTGTTCAGCCGGAGCTTATGGAAAACACTGCTCTGAGGAAACATACCATTAGAACAGAGTGGATTACCTAGAGGCAGAGAGGCCTATGAATGAATGCAAGCTTTTAATGAAGAGCTTTTTTAATAGCGCTGCCGCCATCCAGACCTAATAAACAACCCACACAGAGGAATATGCGCACGCAAAGACACACCTACCGACACACATTAGGCTACCCCCCCCCCCCGACACAACAAAGAGGAATTTATGGGTATGACTGAAATGCTGTATCTCCCAGCTGTTTAATCCTCCTCCCTGCTCTAGGCAGCTGAAGATGCCTCTTCTTGAATACTGTGTGTGATTTACAGTGTATTTGGTTTAGTGTGTGCTGTGAGCAGAGCTCTTGGCATGTCACAGCTCTTAACATCACTTTCAGGGGAATGTGTCAGTACTGGATTTGGAGGTGCTGAATATGTCACTTCATTTCACCACTCTTTCTCTCCCTCTGTCTGTGCTCGAACAGACAAACTGCACGTTTTGGCCTTGAGGAAGAGCAGCTTAGACTAGGCCTAGTGGCTCAATCCTGGAACCAGGGTTGTATGCGTCATGCAGCCACTGGCTCAAATAGGTGCCATTTCTGTACCAAGACCCAGATACTAGGACTAGGGCCTTATAACCTGGCAAACATCACCCAACCCAGCCCAATCCTTTCCTTGTGACACATCACACGGCTCAGCGTCTGGATCTCTGTGTCCTTCCCTGTCCCTGTCGGAGCGCCAGTCGCCTGGCTGCTCTCTTCTGTTCTGCTGCCGCTGGCGGCGCGTCTTTGAGCTGTCAGTCTCCCCCGACTTCATAGAGCTGTGGCGTCGCAGAGAGAGGAGCGCTCTCAGATCAGTTTTTTTCTGAAGAGACGGAGGGAGGGGGCTAGTTGGGGGAGGGAGAGAGGGGGTGGGTGGGGTTGTTTTTGGTTTTCAGGAAACTCCGTCAGTGCAGTTCAAGGGCATCTCTGCCTGTGAAAGATTGGAGTGTGTGTCTGTGTAATATTGTGTGTCTGTGAGGCAGCAGACGGGGTGGTTTTATATTTGAGATCAGAGAGATTGTTACATCGTAGAGAGCATGGTTCTCCCCTTGTCAGTGGAAGATGGAACTAAACCAGGCAATTCAAAGCCATTTAGACACATTCACAGACCTAGACTGATCATACTTTATCCAGCTATAATAAGTGTGTAGTTTTCCCCTCAGAGTTTAGGCACAATTTGGGCTGCTACTTTCTCAACAGATGCTAATCGCAGAGAGGGTTAGAAGGAGCATGATTGCTGGTGTGTACATGTTAGCCAAGCCCATCCAGGCCTATGTCCGAGTCTTGGGATGTTTTGTTAAGCCTACAGCCTGGTTTGACCCTCCTGTTATTCTCACTCTGGCCTATAGGAGGTGTCCTTCACTTCCACCCTGATAACGTCTGCAGTGATGAGCGGGACAAGGTGAGTATATTTACCTTTCCCTATTACACCCAGTACCAGCACAGCCGTAGGAATGCTATAGCATGGTGTTAAAGTGGAACTGACAGTGTTTTAGCAGCATGAAATCGTATAAAATATGTTCTGTCAAGCGAGCACATAGATATGGTAATTTTCATACTTTCATAGAATGTTTGGGAATTAAGTACAGTAAGGCCTTTGTGCTAACATTTTATAGCAATATAGAGTGGGAAAGTGGCTGTGCGTTTGGACAATTAAGACACAGTAAGCCAGAGCAAGATGAGCCAAAATCTAACGAGGTAACAGTAGATAAACCCTTGCAAACTTCTTCAGCTTGTAGTTGGCTGTCAAAATTGCACTGATAAACGATGGGGAATAATAGTAGGCTGCTTGCCCTTCTGCAGTCTGCCTGCCAATGCATGCTTGTCCCAACCCACGTTTTGACAACTGAATGGGAACTTACCTGCCTGCCCGACCATTTGATCGATGCCAAATACATTTGGTTGACAACTAAGAGATATGCTAACTGGATAAGTAGTTCATGTTCAGCATAGCTAGCTAGCAAAGTGATTCACATTTCTTGCTAGCTAACCAAATGACACTAATATCTCTAGCGGTGGCCACAGAAAAATTATATGGGGGAGGGAGGGAGTCATTTGTGACATGACATCCTTCCAGCAGTTAGCTAGGTAGCTAGGCTCTGTGCTTTTGCCCTGCCAAATAAATAGCCACATGAGGTAAGCTAGCCTATTAGCCACGTTATGACAGACTTGTTATGCCCTCGCTAGTTTGATTGAATTGGCCTTACTTTCATCAATTTTTGTCCAAAATATTGAGTCAATGAAACTGAAACCGTGCATCCGAATGAATGGCTGGAGGCAACAAACAATGTACCAGCTGTGATTTACAACCAGATAGCAATATTTGTTGGACTACCAAGAAATGTAATGGTGAAGTATTTTCATAATGCATTGAAGTGCATCCAGCTATTCTGCCAACAATACCCTACTCTACGTCATGGAATATTTAGCGAAATAGAACCTATTTTTAAAACCTCTTATGAAGTTTGGTGTTGTAGCGTAAATAGTGAATTTTGTATTTTTGACTTATGATTGTCTGTTTATCTGCAAAGTAGTTAACTGTCAGTTCCACTTTTAAAAAATGATCCATGTGTCTCTCTCTCTCTGTAGATGGAGGACAGTCCTAGCCCTAAGCGACAGCGTCTTTCCCAGCAGTCTATGTTAGATCTAAGCTCTGCCCCTCCCCCCACCCCATCTTCTCCCATTCGTCCCTGGGAGCTACCCCACACCCCAACTACCTGGGCCCCGCCCCCACCCAGTCGCAGACCACACCCCCACTACCCGCCAGAGCGATGCCACACTCCTGTCCGCAACCGCCGCAGGTAAGTATGTGTGTGTTTTTGTGTGTGTTAAACGTTACAATGGGTTCGGCATCATTGTAAAGTAATTTTTCCTCAGGGCATTATCTGATGTGATGAGGATGTTTGGTAGAAATGACGTTGATATTGTCAGTGTCTCTCTCTCTCTCCCCAGTCCTCCAATGAGACGCCAGCGAGGCCGCCGTGACCGTCTCCCCCACCACCACCCCCCTCACCCTCATCACCACCACTACCACCACCACCATCACCACAACCCTCACCATCATCACCCCCACCACAGCCTCTCAGCAGGGCTTCAGGATGAGAACTACCGCCACCCCGTCCCCCCTCAGAGTTACCCCTATAACCAGCCTGAGGAGCGCCCCTACCACCCCCCCAACCTGTCCCCTCGCCCCCTCCACCACCCTGCTAACCTGTCCCCCAGGTTGATGCACCCTCACCCCCAGCCTCACCCCCCTCAGCAGCAGAGCGGTGTGGTGCTGGACCTCCATGACCAGGTCAGTGGGGAAACAGGAAGCCGCTTGTATAGTTGTCAATAAAGCATTATTGAATTTGATTAGGGTCATATTTATCCTTCTACATGGAGGTTCAGGTAGTGTGGTTGTTTGAACTCTGACCTTTGACTTCTGCGCAGGTGTCGTACCCAGTCTCTCCCCCTGGTGGCCCCCCCGGCCTGCCCCCCCACTCGGCCCCCCAGCAGCTCCCAGCATGCTCGGTGGTCTTTAGTGGGCAGCACTACCCTGTCTGCAGTGTCCCTCCATCTGTGAGTTCAACTAGCCTGACTGTCTGACTTGTGTATCTCTTTGATACTCTGTTAGTCTGACACTGATCGTATGCCTACTTCATGTACAGTGCCATCAGAAAGTATTTATACCCCTTGACTTATTACACATTTTGTTGTTACAGCCTTAATTCAAAATTGATTAAAACCACAGAAAAAATCTCACCCATCTACACACACTACTCCATAAAGAGAAAGTGAAAACATGTTTTTAGAAATGTTAGCAAATGTATTGAAAATGAAATGCATAAATATCTCATTTTAAATAAGTTATCACACCCCTGAGTCAATACTTTGTAGAAGCACCGTTGGCAGCGATTACAGCTATGAGTCTTTCTGGGTAAGTCTCTAAGAGCTTTCCACACCTGGATTGTGCAACATTTGCCCATTATTCTTCAAATTGGTTGTTCATCATTGATAGGCAACCATTTTCAGGTCTTGCCAGGGATTTTCAAGTAGATTTAAGTCAAAACTAACTCGGCCACTCAGCAACATTCACGGTCTTCTTGGTAAGCGAATCCAGTGTATATTTGGCCTTATGTTTTAGGTTATTGTTCTGCTGAAAGGTGAATTCATCTCCCAGTGTCTGGTGGAAAGCAGACTGAACCAGATTTTGCTCTAGGATTTTGCCAGTGCTTAGCTCCATTCCGGATATTTTTTTAAATCCTGAAACTCCCCAGTTCTTAAAGATTACAAGCATTCCCATAACATGATGCTATGAAAAGCCAAGTGACATTTACTCCTTATGTACTGACCTGTTGCAACCTCTACAACCACTGTGATTATTATTTGACCCTGCTGGTCATCTATGAACGTTTGAACATCCTGGAGAAAAATCTGGCCTTAATGGCCATGTACTGTTATAATCTCCACCCGGCACAGCCAGAAGGGGACTGACCACCCCTCAGAGCCTGGTTCCTCTCTAGGTTTCTGCCTTTCTAGGGAGTTTTTCCTAGCCACCGTGCTTCTACGTCTGCATTGCTTGTTGTTTGGGGTTTTAGGCTGCGTTTCTGAATAGCACTTTGTGACATCTGCTGATGTAAAAAGGGCTTTATAAATATAATTGATTGATTAACCCACCACTATGCTTGAACATCTGGAGAGTGGCACGCAGTAATGTGTTGTATTGGATTTACCCCAAACACAATACATTGTATTCAGGACAAAAAGTTATTTGCTTTGCCACATTTTTTGCAGTATTACTTGTTGCAAACAGGATGCATGTTTTGGAATATGTTTATTCTGTACAGGCTTCCTTTTCACTCTGTCAATTAGGTTAGTATTGTGGAGTAACTACAATGTTGATCTATTTCTCCTATCACAGCCACTATACTCTGCAACGGTTTTAAAGTCACCATTGGCCTCATGGTGAAATCCCTGAGCGGTTTCCTACCTCTCCGGCAACTGAGTTAGGGAGGACGCCTGTGTCATTGTAGTGACTTGATAAGCACATTTTTACTCCTGAACTTATTTAGGCTTGCCATAACAACAAAAGGGTTGAATAGTTATTGACTCAAGACATTTTTGTGTTTTCATTTTTATAAAAAAAAAATATGTGAAAAACACAATTCCACTTCGACGTTATGGGGTATTGTGTGTAGGCCAGTGACAACATGTGGAAAAAGTCAAGGGGTGCGAATACTTCCTGAAGGCACTGTACCTCTCCTTTCCCTCCCTGTTTTCCATCAGTGTGTTTGTTCAAATTCATGTATGCATAATTAATCTCATCTTTATCGAGGGTGTCAATAATTGGAGCCCAATGTATATATGCAGGACTGTTTCTTTTATACTGTTTTTCACACTATTTATATACTGGATTCTTGACATGGCTGACTGTAATATCTACTGCTGTACATATCATTCTTAGTATATCTTTTTGATGCATGTACGCATCGCTTGCATTTAGATTACGGATAATGTTAATTGGATTCATCCTGACGTGTGGTTTCTAGTTTTGGATTTATTAGTTGTGTACTTGTTTTACATTTTATTGCACTGTTAGGAGCTAGTAACAAGTATTTCACTGCACACGCTATAACATCTGCTGAACTGTGTACACAACCAATAAACATTGTTTGTTTTGGTCTCTCCTCTATAATGTAATCGAATGTTCTCTCTCTCTCTCTCTCTCTCTCAGGTTCTGCAGACGTGCTCTGTGCAACACCTGCCCATGCCCTACACGTTCCCCTCCCTGCTGTCCAGTGACCCCACCTTTCTCCTGCCCCCTCCCCACCTGTCCCACCATCCCCCTCACATCCCCCAGCCTGGACAGTTTGGACCCTACCCCACACAGCAGGCCAGATCGGTGAGTGGCACTATCTAGCATTACAAGCCATTTGAAGCTCATCAGCAACATCTCTCTTTCTTTTTTTCCCTAGCCATTACAGAGGATAGAGAATGACGTGGAGCTGTTGGGGGAGCACCTGTCGTTAGGGGCGGGTCTACACTACCCCCCTGCCCCCCACCCCGGCCTGCCCCCCCATTCCACTCAGCTCCACTTCCTCTCCCATGAGCCTCTGCCACAGGAGTTCTTTGGAGTGGTGAGTGTCTCTCTCTGACCTCTTTATCTCTCACTCCCACATCATGGTGATTGTGGCATCATCTTTTAAGCCATTTTAAAAGGCCTGCGTTGATGTTTTTTCATTTGGTCATATGAAATCCAGTAATTATTTATCTTCTCAGTCGTATCCTAACTTCCTGCCACGGCGTATCCCAGGACGACGCTACCGCTCACAGCAGCCACTGCCACCCTCGCCTTACCACCCCAGTTTCCTGCCTTACTTCCTGTAAGTCACCCATCTGTCTCTAGCTCTGCATCATGGGTTTTGTAGTTTAGACAATCAGTAGACGCTGCCCTATTGGTTGGAAGTAGCCTACTGTTGTGGCACAGCGTATTTGTGCGAATACAGTTGAGCTTTTATGTATGTTTGTCACATGAGCTGTGTAAGCACACAGTGTCTCCCTCTCTGTCAGCTCTATGCTGCCAGTCCAGCCTACAGGCCCTGCCATCAGCCTGGAGCTAGACGTAGATGACGGAGAGGTGGAGAACTATGAGGCTCTTCTCAACCTGGCCGAGCGTCTGGGAGAGGCCAAGCTCAGAGGACTGACCAAGGGAGACATCGAGCAGCTGCCTTCCTATAGGTTCAACCCCAACAACCACCAATCAGAACAGACTCTGTGAGTACTTCCCCTTGACCTACCAGAGCTGAGGATACTATCCTCCGCCCTCGCCAATCCGAGCATGCAGTTGGTGTTGTTGGTACTTCTGTTGAAATAATGTTGTAATAACGTTGTAATAAAGTTGTACTGTTGTATTGCAGGTGTGTGGTGTGTATGAGTGACTTTGAGTCACGTCAGTTACTGCGAGTTCTACCCTGCAGTCATGAGTTCCATGGAAAGTGTGTCGACAAGTGGCTCAGGGTGAGTCTCTCGCTTGCTCTAGTATTTCACAATGCACGATCAACTATACTGAACAAAAATAAACGCAACATGTCAAGTGTTGGTCCCATGTTTCATGAGCTGAAATAAATGATCCCAGAAATGTTCCACACGCACAAAAAGCGTATTTATCTAAAATTTTGAGCAGAAATTTGTTTACATCCCTGCTAGTATCTCTCCTTTGCCAAGATAATCCATCCACCTGACAGGTGTGGCATATTAAGAAGCTGATTAAACAGTATGATCATTACACAGGTGCACCTTGTGCTGGGGACAATAAAAGGCCACTTTAAAATGTGCAGTTTTGTCACACAACACAATGCCACAGCTGTCTCAAATTTTGAGGGAGTGTGCAATTGGAATGCTGACTGCAGGAATGTCCACCAGAGCTGTTGCCAGAATTTAATGTTAATTTCTCTACCATAAACCGCCTCCAACGTCGTTTTCGAGAATTTGGCAATGCGTCCAACCGGCCTCGCAACCGCAGACCACGTCTAACCACGCCAGCCCAGGACCTCCACATCCGGCTTCTTCACCTGCGTGATCGTCTGAGACCAGCCACCCGGACAGCTGACTAAACTGTGGGTTTGCACAACTGAAGAATTTCTGCACAAATTGTTACAAACCATCTCAGGGAAGCTCATATGTGTGCTTGTCGTCCTCACCAGGGTCTTGACCTGACTTCAGTGGTCAAATGTTAACTTTTGATGGCCACTGGCACGCTGGAGAAGTGTGCTCTTCACGGATGAATCCCAGTTTCAACTGTACCGGCAGATGGCAGACCGCATGTATGGCGTCGTGTGGGCGAGCGGTTTGCTGATGTCAACGTTGTGAACAGAGTGCCCAATGGAGGTGGGGTTATGGGCAGGCATAAGCTACGGAGAACGAACACAATTGCATTTTATCAATGGCATTTTGAAAGCACAGAGATACCGTGAAGAGATCCTGAGGCCCATTGTCGTGCCATTAATCCGCCGCCATCGCCTCATGTTTCAGCATAATGCATGGCCCCATGTCGCAAGGATCTGTACACAATTCCTGGAAGCTGAAAATGTGTCAGTTCTTCCATGCTCTGGATCAACGTGTACGACAGTGTTCTAGTTCCCGCCAATATCCAGCAACTTCGCACAACCATTTAAAGAATAGTGGGACAACATTCCACAAGCCACAATCCATGCCCCTGCCTTTTTGTAAAGGTTTCTGTGACCAAACGGAAGCATATCGGTATTCCTAGTCATGTGTTATCCATAGATTAGGGCCTAATGAATTTGTTTCAATTGACTGATTTCCTTATATGAACTGTAACTCAGTAAAATCGTTTAAATTGTTGCATTTTATATTTTTGTTCTGTGCATTTGGCAAACATACTTTTCTAGATACTGTGAAACATCTTACATCTTCATACCTAGTTCTCATTCCAACTGAAGCTCCCTCTAAAAAAACAAATCTAGAGTTCTCCAGTAATGATCAAGTCATCCCTGCATGTTAACTGACAATGTATCCCTCTCTGTTGTCTCTCTCCAGGCTAACAGGACTTGCCCCATCTGTAGAGCGGATGCCTCAGAGGTCCAGCGAGACTCAGAGTGACCACCAGGGGGAGTCAACCACTGACTGTCAAACAGTTTTAGCACTGCCCCCCCCCCACCCCCCTCCCCTGCATCTCCTTTCCTTCTCCTGTAACTCTGCTCTCATCTCTCATTTTGCTGCCCCACACTCCACCTTCAATCTCTCTTTTTGAAATGTTTGGCTCTCTCTGCCTCCTTCCACTCTGCCCTCCATCTCTTCTTTAGCACTCTTGCCCTTCTGTCCTCTTCAGCCTCACACTCCATTCCCTCTGGTCAGGCACACACCCCTCAGCTGAACCCGCTGGGGGGGGGGGGGGTCTGCGCACAAGCTAATGTCCATCCGTATGATTCCTGGCCTTGGTATGTGCCAGCGTTGGGTTTGTGTGTATGAGAGACTGTATTTTAGTTAGTCTCTGATCATGTATTTGTGTGTTAGACTTGGGTATCCACATGTAGTTGACACTTAAGGGCCCATGCCACTCCGCTGCCTCTGTAGCCTGAACTAGTTGCTTTTTGTTTAGTTTCTCTGCCTGGCAGTTTACCTCATCATTCCTGTTGGTCATTGTTACCAAGACGACATGCTTCACTGTATTCCTCTGAAGTTTCTCATTCTATTTTTCTTTGTTTTTGTTCCTTATTAAAGATGATCAGTTTGTCTGACTTTGCAGTGGCACGTGTTATATACTGTATAAATATATGAGTATCTGTATACCAAATAAAAGGCTTGATATGAACTTTTTTTTTTTTAAATCACATTTTGGACCGTTTTTAAAAATGAATTATGAGCTGTGATGCAGTTGGGTTTGTGCTGGATTGATTAGTCTGTTCTGGATGTTAGACTTTAGGTGGTGGTTCATTTAATAAAATACATGATACACACCGATCTGTCTGCTGTCTGTTTCATGTAGAGCGGAAACGCCAGAGCAAAGGATGGCATAGTGTACTTCAAAGCAGAAGGTGGGCGTCCTATCGCCTCTCACCACAGAACATGGTCCGTCAATTTCCCGACGATTCTACATGCTTGTCAACACCGGGAAGGTGATTCCTAACACCACAATCACCTGCTGCTTTTAGCTGTTAGTAGTTCTGGTGTGTTTCTTCTCTCAATTGATGGTGACTGGCTTTCTGTATTTGGGCTTCATCTGTAATGACTGCAAACTGCCATCAGGTGGTGTCACTGTTCTATCTAAGGCATGGTCATTTATTTTAGCGAGAGGGGATGGGTCTCAATGGGAGAAGCTCAATTGCGTCCTCTCCTCGCCGCCTCCTCAAAACCCATTGGCTGAGAAAGCCAGAGGTCCCTCCCCTCTGACTTTCTCTTCCAATTGGTTTTGAGAAGGAGGCGAGGAGTATGTTCTAGAGGCTTCCTCTCGTCTCAACAGGTTCACTCAGTGTAGATGGAAGCCATAAGAGGGCAGCAGGTAGCCTAGTGGTTAGAGTTGAGCTGGCAACCGGAGGGTTGCTGGTATCAAATCCTAGATGCCGTTGCGCCCTTAAGCAAGGCTCTTAACCCCACCACAACAACAGTGCCTAGTGAGGTAGCCCACCGCACCTCTCAACAACAAAAGTGTCTTTCAAAAGGGTTGGGTTAAAAGCGTAAATCCAATTTCGGTTGGACCTTGTGTGCAATTGACCAATAGTGATCTTAATCTTAAAATACATCAGATACCCATCCAGTTATTTCAGGGTTAGATGTTAGGGTTTTGTGAAGGATTAGGCACTAGATAAATGTATCAAATTTGCCCGAAAAGTAGAGAAGTCTGGCCTATGAGACATGCAATGATCCTCACAATAACTTGTGTGAACCAATGATTTCTATACACTAGATGACTGATAGGGGACGCTGTGTTGACACTACTGTGCCTCTATTGTAAAAAATATTTAGGAAGTTATAGACATTTATTTATTCATGTCTACATACATTTTTGCCACATCTATTACAGATGTCTTAATGCAGACTTTAAATTATATGTAAGCTAAACATAAAATATAACAAAGTATCATTTTTAGAGATGACTGTTACTGTCCCCACTACAACAACAACAAAAAAAACTTAAATATATGTAATTTTGTACTTTCATTAAAATATTGTACAATTCCATTAATTCCTATCGAGGACTGTTCCTACTGGGGAGTGCCAATATGGCCGACCAGTGGCTTCAAAGCCTCTCAATGGCCAATGTATAGCATCAGCAATCCAGGGTTTATATACAGTACATCATTGGTGTGAACCCCGGGCAGTGACCTACCTAAGCTAGTCTACTCTGTGACCCAATGTGGAGCACAGACGGAGGTCTGTTAGTTACTTAGCGCACGGCTGTTACCTAGCATCGGCTGTTAGCTACATCACATGGAGGGGGTTGTTGTGGTCTGATTGTCCATGGTGAGTGTCTCTCGGCAGGCTGTCTACAGGCAATGTGCCCTCTGACCTGCATAATGTGACCATACAGGATTTATTTTAGTCTCTTTTCTCTTTCATTGCGGACATTTACTCTTTCTCTATTCCTTCTCTAGGCTCTTCTAGTTCTCTTCCAATCTCTCTTTATTCTCCCTCTTTCCATAATTTCTCTTGCTTTCACCCTGCTGCCTCATTATTTCTCTCTCTCTCACTTTTCTTTACCTCTTCATATTTTGTCTGATTCATGACGACACAGCAGCTAAATACAGGGTTTTCCCAAACTCGGTCCTCGGGACCCCAAGGGGTGCACGTTTTGGTTTTTGCACTAACACTACACAGCTGTTTCAAATAATCAACTAATCATCAAGCTTTGGTAATTTGAATCAGCTGTGTAGTGTTAGGGCAACAACCAAACTGTGCACCCCTTGGGATCCCGAGGAGCGAGTTTGGGAAACGTGAACGAGAGAGAGGCATTATTCCACGCTGCATGCCCTGGGTCTAAGTAACCTGATGCATGGGGAATGAACGAGATCCGTTTTGCACATTGTTCCTTTCACGCCACACTGGTGCGTTGGGCCTGTTGTGGAACAGGAGCCCACACCTCTGTTTACAGAGACACTGTCGGGAGTCATCTGGATGGAGAAAGAGTCAATGATAACAACAGGTTTCTTTCTATAAACAGAGAAATGCAGCTCAGTTCTGACCGGAAGCGGGTCTAAAGATGAATTAACATTCTATCAACAGATTAATTAGCATTCTATCAACTGTATCTTAAATGAACTTTCACTAATTATACCACGGTATTACAGTAACAGTTTATTACCAAACAGCGAAGAGTGAGTGAGAGAGAATGTGTCTGTATGACAGAAGAGAGAGAAAAAGAGAATGAATCTGAGAGTTTATTTTGCGAGTTCAAGTCTAATTGAATCAGAGGCTTTTTGGTCTAACTGATGATTCCGAACAATGAGCAGAGGAGAGGCAACCCTTCCCACGTCCTTCACCCTAAATACCCCTCCTTTCCTCTTCTCTCCCTCCCCCCTCCCTCCTCCCCTGTGACCACCGCCCATCCCTCCATGCCTGGCAGAGTAATGAAATGGAAGAGATATGGGATTTCTGCCTAAACTGTCTCTCCAGTTAAAGCTGAATGAATTCACTGAGCACTATGTTTCGCATCCTCTCTCTCTGTGTCTCTCTCTCTGTCTCTCTCTCTCTCTTATTCAGATTCAGCCACACACATAGACAGATACAGACACGCATAACTTTGTGACTTTGTCCTTCAAACTGATGCACCGTCGCAGCATTATCACAGATACATTATCTCCGTTTTACACATGGAGAAATCAACATTAGGTTAACTTGCAGCTTCCAATTACTGGTCCTACTCATAAGATTTTGGCTTTGAATCTCTGGTTGGTTGGCTCTCCTCAAGCTGTTCACTGATTTGCTGTAAGTCCTCTAGCTGTTTCCTGATTGGTCGCATGTCCTCAGGGCTGCGCATGGATTGGCTGTAGGGGAGATGAGCGGCGGAGTTGTGCTTATCTGAAGACACATGAACGGAACGACCTCAGATTCCTTGGTTAGTCCCTCAAACAAACACTTTTCCTGTCTCTCTGTGTATGTCCTATGTTATAGATATGTCTCTCTGTGTATGTCCTATGTTATAGATTTGTCTCTCTGTGTATGTCCTATGTTATAGATATGTCTCTCTGTGTATGTCCTATGTTATAGATATGTCTCTCTGTGTATGTCCTATGTTATAGATATGTCTCTCTGTGTATGTCCTATGTTATAGATATGTCTCTCTGTCTGTGTCCTATGTTATAGATTTGTCTCTGTGTATGTCCTATGTTATAGATATGTCTCTCTGTCTATGTCCTATGTTATAGATATGTCTCTCTGTCTATGTCCTATGTTATAGATATGTCTCTCTGTGTATGTCCTATGTTATAGATATGTCTCTCTGTCTGTGTCCTATGTTATAGATATGTCTCTGTGTATGTCCTATGTTATAGATATGTCTCTCTGTCTATGTCCTATGTTATAGATATGTCTCTCTGTGTATGTCCTATGTTATAGATTTGTCTTTCTGTGTATGTCCTATGTTATAGATATGTCTTTCTGTGTATGTCCTATGTTATAGATTTGGTTGAGCCTGTAAACATAGGAGTGTGTGTGTGCGTGTGCAGCCATCTACCCAAAGAAGGAAACCTTAATTCAAAGTACAGTAGCTGATGTGAACTGATGATGTCATGCTGGATTTATAGATGTGATGTAAGTGGTGTGATGTCACGGTACTCTTTAGGGCAGACCCTCGGGCACTGTTAGGGTGGCACTAACAGTGCCATGAGGGTGCCAAGCCACTGAGTGGGTCTAGGACTCATGATTCCTATCACGCTAGACAAACTCTAATGAGTGTTCTAATATACCCAAACTAGCTGAATCCTTCTCTCTCTCTACCCCTCTTCTATCATCTTACCTCTTGGTCCTCTATAAATGGTTTCTCACTCTGTTCCCCCCTCCTTATTCCCTCTCCCACCTATTTTTCTGCTTTCAGAATCCTACTGCCTGTGCGAGTGTGTGTATTTCTGCCTCTGTCTGCTATGCAGAGCATCCCAGGTTGACAGGGTACATGGAATATCCATCCTGCCACTTTAGAAGGCAGCCGAGGCGCCAAGCTCTGCCCGATTCACTTACACACCGCTTGGTACATTGTCAAGCATGCACACACAGTCTTGTATAACTAGCCTTGTGGGGACACACAATTAAGTCCCATTAAAAATCCTATTTTACCTAACCCTAACTCTAACCTTAACCATAACCTTAACCCAAAAACCTAACCCTAGCTCCTGCCCCTAACACTAAACCTAATTCTACCCCTAACACTAATTCTAACCTTAACCCTAAACCCCCTAGAAATAGCATTTGACCTTGTGGG